CTTAGCATTCTGGCATGTATGTTGCTCCTGGGAGACACAGACCAGAGCACATGGCTGCAGCGAAGAGGGTGTTGCGCTACTTGTGCAGTACGTCGGGCATGGGGCTTGTGCTTGGAGGGCGGAGTCCAGTGGTCCTCACTGGTCACGCAGACGCTTCTTGGGCTGACGATCAGGCTACGCAGCGGTCGTCACATGGTTACACCTTCAGCCTTGGTTCCGGTTCTGTTTCGTGGCGGTCTACCCGCTCGTCTTCTGTTCTCGGCTCCAGTTGTGAGGCTGAGATCTACGCAGGGGCCATGGCTGCACAGGAGCTACGCTGGCTCACCTACCTGCTGACTGACCTAGGAGAGCCGCCTCGTTCTCCTCCAGTTCTGTACGTAGACAACAAGGCTATGCTGGCCTTGTGTCGGGAGCACAGACTGGAGCACAGAATGAAGCACGTCGCTCTTCGCTACTTCCTTGCTCGTGAGCTGCAGCAGCGAGGTCAGCTGCGCCTTGCTTACGTGGCCTCTGAGGCCAACACTGCTGATATCTTCACCAAGGCACTTGCGCCTTGTGACCATCAGCGCTTCTGTACTCTGTTAGGTCTTGTACCTACCTTGCCTCACTTGCTCACTTCTTGACCTTACTTGTGCTGTGATCTTTCTATACCTGCACTTGCTTGTTTACCTTTATGTATGATCTTGCATGTGAACTGGCCTTGTGGCCTTGAACTTGTGCTCGGAATGTGTGGTGACGTTGTGATCCACCCTGAGCTTGCTTTGCTTTGCTTGACTGGTCTTCTGACCTCTTGTTCTCCCCCACTTTGCCTATGGGGGTGTGTCAAACTTATATGCTATGGTCTATCTAGGCTGTAGTGGGGTAGACACTATAGGGTACAACATTTCTAGGTTTCCTACTTGTACCCACCTGCTTGCTAGTTCATTCATTCCTCATTTCTTCACACGACCGGGGGGCTACGGGGGCCGCGGGATACCCGGTCGACCAGGATACTCGGGCGACGTGGGCGAAGGTCGCCGGGGTGGTTTCTGCGAGGACGACCTCGGGGGTGGTATCGCGAGGTCGACGTGGCTGGTAGGCGCCGTCACCAGTGGAGTGTCTGCGCTGGGCAAGTGACGGGGCATTGAGCGCCAACCAGGTGGATGCACCTGCGAAGCAGGTGCACTGTTGTCCCGCGGATGCAACGCTGTGCAGCCGACTTACTACAACGTTGGCACACCGCGGACTGGCAACGTTGGCAAGCCGCGACTCTGCTCTGCTGGAGCGCGGTTGACCAAGTAGTGCTGGCACACGGTCGGCGCTGGCAGTCGACCAGCAACCTTGCTAGGTCTGATGTAGTCTGTGTTGCCAATGTTGATTCAATCGCACTTGGAAACGACTAAGGAACGAACGAACGCTACGATCACTCTTGCCCCGTGCCTAGCCCGTAGTCTAGCTCTCGTTGCACTAGTTATCTCCGCATCGTCTTGGCCGCGGAGCCAGTGACTCCAGTAGTCCGGATACCCTTGCTTGTGTACGGTAGCCCGTGCGCGCCGTTCCTGTTGGCCGTGTGTCCGCGGCTTCACACGTCGCCTCCTATCTCCATTCCTCTCCAAGTCCCTCCTCCTCGTCACTTGCCCTCTGCGACTGCCTCTAGTTTTGCTTGTGCTTGTGAACTTTTTATGCGACTGCTTGCTGTGCTGATCATACCCCACTTTGCCTATGGGGGTGTGTAAGAATGTGTTATTTGTCTAGTCTGCAGTGGGGTACTTTATAGTGAGTGCAGCCCAACTAGGGTTTGCTATATGTATCCCATTGCTTGCTAGTGAAAACCCTCTTCTGCTGTTCTCATTCCTGCTTGCTTTCTTGACAACTTAATGTAGTTCTATGCATCATTGCTGGTGCACCTTCTTGATTTCATTTTCTATATCTTGTACATGGCTCAGCAATCGATCCATTCTTACACTCCAATCTCACTAATTTTCCCAAACCACTAGGTCTTAAGCTACTTAGCCATTGTTTACAATACGCACAAATTAAGGGAGTAGCTGTGTTAATCGTTGATAATTGCCCGAATTCGTCATCATATAACGAATAAAAAGCATACCCATAATGATTTATAAGTAAAGAGATGCACAATATGTTCAACATTTAGGCCAGATAGTGCTTCGTCATAAATATTTTTTATTATGTTTAGCCATATATTTCAGGCAGTCAGACTGTTTGTGCTGAATGTTATGGATCGTGGTTTACGCAAATATTAAAGATAAGCATAATAAAGCTGACATATGTGATCTTCTCCTAGAATTCCCTACACTTATAGCGGCCACTTTTGATATTCCCACGGTCCAGATCTCTGGCCAGACCCATAATTGCTTTCACCTCTATCTGTCGGGGTGTGCCGTGATGCATGAGGATGAGTGGCTACAGCCACTAATGACCAACTCAACCCTGGAGAACAGATTCGCAACAGAAAATGGATTCACATCAACAACTCCTTTCTGGTTCATTCTGTTCATCGCAAAAAACTTGAATCAATGTTGCACTAGCTGCCATGGCACCTCCTTGTCGACTTCTGTGACTCTGTGTCGATGTGGCTAGAAGGGCGCAAAACCAGAACTTGTGGAACTGAAATTTCTAGGTTGCTTGCATTCGGGGGCTACTGTAGTGAATAAGTAAGTCTGAAAAAAAAAAATCGGTAATCAAAGTAGCGCTCTTCTTTTACCTTTGTCTTGTTTTCGAAGGGTCAGCCCTTAGACGCTGTTCGGCTGAAAGCTGCTTTGCTGGGCCTCGAATTAGGGGGTGGCTCGATGTGTTGTTTTGTGCTATCTGTTCAGCTGCAACTGCCACCACAGGTTAGCAACACCGTTTGGCGCTTGGGGTCTGCGGTGCCCAGCTGGGGGTGCGTCCTCCTCTCCAGTTTACCGCGTTGTTCGTGTGTGTGTTGTCGTGTCGTCTTTGACAAGACCACTTTCTCTTTCACCCCCCTTTCCCGCCTCCCACCCAGCCTCCAGCCCCCTCTTTCTAACCGCTTGGCACCCATCTTGAGTTGGTTCCACGCACTCGGAAACCCCCCTACCCCCCCTTCCCCCCCCCCCCCGTACTTCCCCCCACCTGTAACCCTCCCCAGGTCGAAGGTGCATTCTGCCCATTTCTGGAAAGCGCCGCGGCTCGAGTCATGACCGTATTCCTTGGTTCCTCTGATTTATGGCTTGGTCCGGTCGGTTTACCCAAAATCGGCTCCCTTTTTTCCGGGAATGTCACGGCCTCGCTCGATTGAATTTTTGACCGACGAAGCGAGCTGGATGCAAAGAGTTGGCTGAGCTTTTGCCAGCTATGTTGAGATCCAAATAGGACGTGGGCCCAATCGACTTTGTTCGGTTCGGATCGAGGCGGGTTGGATTGGTTCGAATTGCTTGTGATCGCTTTTCCCGCGCCGCTCGATCAAAGCTGATTTTCCTCGGAAACTCGATGAGCTTGCATGACAAGTGTGACGCATTTACCTGGTATTTTCTTTCCAGCCTTTGCGAGACTGGCGAACACAATGTAACGTGGTAACGTCGTGAACATCGCACCGCAGACAATGTCGGTCTAAAAACTTTGCAGAATTTTCTCGCCAGTCCGTAGGTATGAGCGAAATATTTTCGAGACCTCTAGTCGACTGTGTATTTTTTCGCGAACATCGTCCAGGCCCCCGATCACATGCAATCAAGTGATCGAGACTGATTGTGTCTAATCGTGATTGATCGGGCTGTTTCAGGCGGTTGATCGAGTTCGAGCGATCAGCTGATTGCCCCTGATTGCCTGAAATTGGACTCCCGCCTTCCTGAAGTCATTGATCGCCTTTGATCGAGCCGATCAAAGTCGATCGGGCCCACGTCCTTAGAAGGGGCTGCGACCAGCCAGAGAACAGCAAAAGGCAAAATTTACAGTCCATATATTATTTCTGTCCTTGCTTCGTTATATACAATGTGTAGCTGTCCTTGCTTCCCGGCCGGATTTTATGGTTGTGTGATACTCGGTGGGCATAGCACGGAACCGGTTTCACATCAAACCACCACCATCACCAGCAGCACAAAGGAACACATACACTAGTATCGGATCTAAAATATCCACACTTCGTGTGAATTGCGAACATCGACATGCCAGCGTGCTAAAAGTCATTTGAACTAGAAAGACATGCACAAAGTCTGTATTTGCAGGACTCTCAAAATCCTAAACTGTAAAACGTCGTACTTGAAAACATTTTTATCAGACTGGACCATACAACTGGCCCACAGTTGTTGAAGCCGCCTTTCCGCACAACTGTACTCCCCCACTTCTCCCCTCTTGCCCTAATCCCCCCTCGCACCCCTTCATTCCAAATGTGCGACGCGCCTAGACCATGAAATGTGTGAATGCCATCCAAGCCTCACGATGGGTTTGGGGGTGGGATGCGAGCGTGCGAGCGAGCGATCATTCCCATCAGTGACTGGCTTCGAGGGGGGTTTCAGTCAGCCCGCCCGCCAAGACCCGTCGTCGTGTAGTCGGGTCGTCGCCCAATCCGATCTGGTCTATGCGCGCGCTGGCACCCTCGTGTTGCGCCTCTTACTCCGCAGCAGTGCAGCACACCACCACAGCGGAGTCTGCACAGAACTTCACAGCACATCAACAGCGCATCCGCAGGCCTACACTATCCTGCTGCTTCCCTCCGATCGCACCCCCAACGCGGTGGTGCTGGCTGGCACACCCCTCTGTTCAGTCCGTTGCGAAAGTTGAGAATGTTGTGATGAGAATGCAGGGAATGCAGCGGGAAGGAATCACACCAAAGCAACTAGCTCGCACAATTGCTGCGTGCTCGAGGTCCAACTTGGTTATTTCTATTTGTAGGCCTGACTCCCTTCCCATTGTAACCACCATATCAGCGAGACTCCCGGAGTAGAAACTTCTACTGTGTACTGTGGGAAAAACAACTCAACTTGATTTGAAACATCAAACGTCGACCACAATATTCGAGAGAGTCTCGCGATCCGTGTGATACGATGATGGAAACCGCCGCCGCTATCCCTTCCGAATCGCGCAATGCTACCAGCTGTACGGGTTACTCGTGGAAGAAGTACGGTCACAAGGTTCTCGCGTCCGTCAACGTCAAACGGTGAGGATTCACACACCGAGTCGCGATTTTCCCTGAACATGATTTTTTCGCCGGGAAAACGAGAAATTCCAGCAAACAATCATGTGTCGCATCCAGCAGTAAGCTGGTGGTGGCAATATATGGGATTTAGGACTGCCAGTCACTGGCACTAACAAGTCGCATTGCCGTTTTTATTTGCCGCCTCCGTGTTTCGTCGCAGATTCTACTACGCCTGTGCGCAGAAGGACACGCACGGGTGCCCCGCGAAGAAAATCGTCGATAAGCCGCGCAAGCGACCCCGCGCCGGCAGCTTGAACGGGCGCGCCGCATCCAGTGGCGGCGGCAGCGACGGCGGCGGCGGCGGCGACGGCGGCTGCGCCGGCGGAGGTGCGCTGTCTCCGGAAGCCAGCACAACCAGCGACAACAGAAAACCCGTTTCTCCCAATGCGGCGGGGAGGTTGAACCTCCTCGCATCCGTCTCCCGGAACGACAAACTCTCAGGATCTTCGCCCCAGGATTTCTGGGCACGCAGTTCTTTTCCCGGGCCCGCCGGCGCGGTGGCGTGCGCGGGCCATGATCAAGGGTCCGCGGGCGAGGCCATGGCGGCGGCGGCGGGTTCGGATTCCGCCGCCGGCGGGGAATTGTCGACGGAGACGGCAATGAAGGAGAAGACCTGGTTCGAGAATGCGCACAACCATCCTCCGCCGCTGCTCTCCTCCCGCCTCTCCCGCAACCGCTTCCTTGCTGCCGCTTCTGCTACCGCCGCCGCCGCCGCGGCCGCGGTGCCGCCGCCGTCGCCGCCGCCGCAAGGCGGCGTGATGATGGCGCCTGCAGCTTCCGCCGCCGGCGGCGGCGTGTGGCGGCAGCAGGAGCAACAACAGCAGATCATGCTGCACCAACAGCAACAGCAGCAGCAGCAATTTCTAGTGCAGCAGCAGACGCCAAAGCTAAGAACGGGGCGGAACGGAGGGCAGGCGGAGCCGCATTTAGCAACGTTTCCCGCTCCAGGGAACAACACCCAGGCACTTTCTGTGCGCTCCCCTCCCCCGCACCAGCAGGCTCAGCTGCAATCTCAGCAGCAGCAGTTGATGATGGGTCGGCCTATGATGCCACTGGATCAGTCAAGTCTAAATTGCTCAGGCCGTCAAGATGCGTCGGGAGGAGTTAGCATAACATTAGGAGTCACATCATCCGTACCTTGTGGTGGTAATGCCGCATATCATCCGTGCGGTGAGGCCCATCACGCTCTGCGTTCCACGCCGCCTCAGCAGCATTGCACTGAGGCGTCTCAATGGCCCGGGTCGCACCCCAGACGACAGGGTAATCTTAAGACAGCTGAGGGGAGCGGCGAGAATCGAATGCCGCTGCTCCAGATGCTGTCCAATCAGGAGCCGCCACCTCAGCTGCTCTTGTGCACGGAGCCTCCATTGACTCCCTGGGATTCTGGCCAGCCTGGCAATCATGCTTCCTCGCCACATAGCCTTCCCCAGCACGGCCTGAGCGGGCAACCGCAGCAGCATCAACAGCAGCAGCAGCAACAGAAACAGCAACAACAGAACGACAGCCAGCACCAGCCGCAGCAGCAAAGCCAGCAATGGCAGCAGGGACAGCAGAGGATCCAGTATGCCGGCCAATTCAACCAGCCAGTGTCAGCAAGTCTCCCCCCCCTTCCACCCTCCCCGCACACATCCACACCCCCTACGCCCCTTCCAATCTCAGCACCAGCAATGCGACCTGCTATGTACGCTGTCCCTTCCGCTCACGCTAATCTCGCACCCACCGCCGAGCGCAGCACTGTCGGCGGCAACAGTGAGAGCAACGGCACAACGGGACTTTGCTTATCAAGCAATGTGTGCGATGGAAGCACCTGGGAGCAACCATCCCACCCAGGGAAGCGGCTCAAGAGGGATCCTGGTAGCAGTGCTTCTTTAATCACAGCTCTGGGCTCTCGTCTTCCCATGCCCTCTAACGTCCCCACTCATTCCAACAGCAACGCTCCTGCTCCTGCTCTTGCTCCCGCTCTTGCCCTTGCCACCGCTATTGCTGCTGCTGCTGCTGCTGCTGCTGCTCCTGCTCCAGCTGCAAGAGACAAGGCGACCACGCCAGCCGAAGCGCAGCCCATGGAGAGGAATTTCATCGACGCACTCTCGCTCTCGCCCTCCTCTCTCTCCTTGGCTTGCTCTCTTGCCCCACCTCATGGCCCCAAGGGAGAGAGCCACACGGGAGAGGGCGCCAAGGCAGGGGGTTTCGTGGGGAAGGTTCGTATGGGAAAGAACGTCAAAGGGGAGAGCCTTATGGGGGAGGTTGTATTAGGGGAAGGCTGCTCTCCCTCTGCCCGAGGGCCGTCGTTGGACCTGCCCGGGTTTTATGAGCCTTCTTTTCCAGAGCTCTCACTTAGCCTTGGCAGGTTGTAGCTTTCTACCTTTTCCTGATCAGATTTGTAAAGCCTACTCATAAGTGTAAAAGAAATGTTAAGTGCGTTCCTACTAATGTAAAAAGCATATTTCGTGCAAAATAGCCCCTGCGAAGGTGGTTTCATAGCAAATGGTGTGAGCCGCCAGCCAGCAAGCATGCTTTCTGGCGGTGTCGCAACTCGTTCCTTCTTGCGGTGAGCTGAGCGCGTCGAATCTACGCTCTGGTTATCAGACCAAATCGGTCTGATGGTCTGACTTTCAGACCTACATTTTTGCTTTCATCTGATTTCTAAGGCAATGCTTTTTATTTCGTCTGATCCATAAGACTATTTATTTTAGCTCGTCTGATTTCATCTGAGATTTTAGATAGCGGGTTTTTTTTTCGTCTGACACCACCCCTCATTCTCCCCCCCCCCCCCCCCCCCACGTGCGTCTCGCATCTACAGCATATTTTCATACGGTCCCTCTTGCCACGTGCGTCCCATCCCAACACATCCCTCCCGTCGCCTCCCTCCCAACTTGTCACTCGCCTGTCAGCAAGCACACCGTCAGTGCCGCACCACCGCCTCCGTCATAAGCTTCGACAAAATAGAGTTGAATCACGCTCGACAAGTGTTTTAGTTAATTCAAACTAAGCAAAATATATCGTCTGAAAAATCAGACACATCTCCAACTTTCATATGAAAAATCAAACAGAAAATTTTGGCCCGTCTGAACGTCAGACGAAACGATTTTTTCATTTATATTTTCAGACGGGCCTAAATCCTAGCATGAGCCCCGCCGATCAATCATTGAGGTCTGTCACACTTACGGTACAAGAAACCCTGGTACCGGTATGCCCTCTCCATTGAAATGAAAAAATAGGCAACAGAACAGAAGCATAAGTTTATGGCTCCAAAAAAAACCCTACCTTGCCTGCAAGCTAGCCAGCCCACCCCAATGCACATACCGCCGGATGTCCAACCTCGCGTCTAATCACATTCGCCTGAGCAAACACCTTCCTGGAAATATCAATTTTCTGCACCCCTTTTGGATCCTTGACTACCGTACTAGATTCCCCTCCATAGTCTTCCCAGCCCACCCACCTGCTGCACTCCCCATGAGCTGATCGCCTAGCCTCCTTTCTGTCTCATGGCATTTGCTCGCACAAAAACCTTCCTGGAAATATCCGTCAACATTTTCTGCACCCCCTTGGGGTCTTTAGCAACCGAATTCCCTTCCACGGGCTTCCCGACCCACCCGCCCACCGCACTCCCCACCGGCACTCCCCACGAGCTGACTAGCTACCCTCCTTTCCGTCTCATTGCATTTGCTCGAGCAAACACCTTCCTGGAAATATCCGTCAACATTTTCTGCACCCCCTTGGGGTCCTTGGCGCCCAAATTCCCTTCCACGGGCTTCCCTGCCCACCCGCCCGCCGCACTCCCCACCGCCTTCCCCCCCTCACAAAACGCCAAATAATACTCAATCTCGCAGATATCCGCCAGCTGGTGGAAAATCACATCCGGATTCTCCACGGGGCGAATCTCCAGCACGGCGGATCCGGGCGGCATGAAGACAATATCGGCGAGGATATTATCGTGCACTGATACCATGAGGAGCGCGCGGTTGAGCAGGTCTTTTCGGCGGGGGAGGGAGATGGAGCCTTCCCGGTAGATGACGACTCGCTCGGGGGGGAAGAGGCGGGTGAGGTGCTCGTGTAGCTTGAGGCTCTGCAGGAGGGATGCGCGCTGCTCCTTCCACCCCAGCAGCACCACCCAGTTGCTGCCGGGCGCGTATGCGCGTGGTGTGTAGGCCGGGGTGGCACTGGCAGGTCCCTTGAACCTGGACGTCCAGTCTGGTGGGGAGAGGAGAGGGGCGGGGAAGAGCACGTGGTTGAGGGGGGGGGAGATGGAGCCTTCCCGGTAGCATAGGCGCATGGTGTGTTGGCTGGGGTGGCAGGTCCCTTGAACCTGGACGTCCAGTCTGGTGGGGAGAGGAGAGGGGCGGGGAAGAGCACGTGGTTGAGGGGGGGGGGAGATGGAGCCTTCCCGGTAGCATAGGCGCATGGTGTGTTGGCTGGGGTGGCAGGTCCCTTGAACCTGGACGTCCAGTCTGGTGGGATGGCGCACGCACGTGGGATGTGGTGTGAAATAAGTGTTTATGTTTTGAGCACTTTCCTGAAGTGGCTCAACAGGAAAGGATCATCATCTCAAGGTCTGGGATTGAAGGGAATGATGTTCAATGTAGATAGTCTAGAGTGTCGTTACCTTACAGGCCAAACACCCCTCATCCTCATATCCTGAATCTGAAACCTTCACCCCGCCCAACTCCACCACCATGGTCACCCCAAAACCACACCTGTTTTGAGTCGACTCAAAACACACCTCATCCTCAGATCCTGCGTCTGACACCTTCACCCCACCCAACTCCACCACCATGGTCACCCCAAAAACCACACCTGCCATGCCCACAAGCCCCCCCACCCCTAGCCTGTAACCTCCACCCCATCTCTCCTCGATTCCCCGCCCCCCCCATCCCCCCCACCCCACCCTCCCACCCCTCCCCCTTTCTCTTTGCGCGCCTTTTTTCAGTGGAAGCCCCCCCCCCCCCTTCACCCGCCCTGCTCGTACCAGCATTAAAGATGGGCAGCCCCCCGGGCGGCAGCAGGTGTCTCATTCGCAGATAGTGCCAAAGCGAGCGGCTGGGCTCCCCACACCGCTGGTGCAGTGGCTGGGATAGGGAGGAGAGGGGAGGGGAGAGGAACGGAGGGGAGGGGAGCGGACGGGACAGGAGGGGAGGGAGGGGAGGTGAGGGGATTGGAGGAAGGGGAGGCAAAGGGAGGGGAGACAGGGGAGGGATGGGGTGAGATGATGCGGAAGGGAGCGAAGCAGGGGAGTAGCGTGGGGAAGGGGGGAAATGAAAGAAGGGGGAGGCAGGGTGCCAGGGAAAGCCACTTCCACTCACAATGACGAGCTTCTCAGCGAAAAAAAATAAAGATTGTGGGCCTTGACCACATTCACGTTCATCCTGTCCACTTGCACTCCCAGCACATCCACCACTCCCAGCACATCCACCACTCCCAGCACATCCACCACTCCCAGCCCATCCACCACTCCCAGGCACCAACTTTTCGCAGGACCTCAACCACACCCTCTCCCTTCTCCCCTTCCCCTTCGCAACCCACTCACAATGACGAGTTTCTCTGCAAAGAATAGTTCCTTGGACTTGACCACGTGCACGTTCATTCTGTCCACCCGCACTTTCAATGACCACCTGTTGAGGCACCTCAAAACACCCTCCCATCCCCTCCCGTCTTCCCTTCCCCTTTGCACCCCACTCACAATGACAAGCTTTTCAGCGAAGAACAGGTCCTTGGCCTTCACCACGTGCACGTTCATTTCGTCCACCTGCACGCCCAGCACATCCACCGCCTCCCCCGTGTTTTGAGACGGGCATCCACCGCCTCCCCCGTGTTTTGAGACGGGCATCCACCGCCTCCCCCGTGTTTTGAGACGGACATCCACCGCCTCCACCGTCTCAAAACACTTCTTCATCCACCTGCACGCCCAGCACATCCACCGCCTCCCCCATGCCATGCATGCTCCCCCACACCCACCCAGGCCACCCCCAACCCCCACTCACAATGACAAGTTTCTCTGCAAAGAACAGGTCTTTCGACTTCACCACGTGCACGTTCATTTTGTCCACCTGCACGCCCAGCACGTCCACCGCCCCCAGCGAGCACAGCTGCTCCAATCCGTTCCTCACATGCGGCCGCCTGTGCCCCACCGCCACTGGTACGCCCCTCATAGCCGGCAGAATGCGGTGCAGAGAGATGAAGAGCGGTATGAGGTCGAGCAGCATGGCGCGCGTGGACCAGGCGAACCAGTCGACGAGGGAGACGAGCTCTTTGAAGTGGGTGACGCGTGTGCGGTTGGCGGTGTAGCGGAAGGGCAGCGTCACGGTGATGTTGGGACTGCCCGCACACGCGTTGTGGTCGAAGAGATGGGTGGAGTTGAACACCTGGCCCACCACGTTTATGTACACGTTGCGCAGAACTAGGACCTGTGGGTGTGGGGAAAGGGGTGGGCGGGCGGGGGGGAAAGGAAGGGGGTTGAAGATGTGCGTGGAGTTGAACACCTGGCCCACCACGTTTATGTACATGCTGCGCAGCACCAGCACCTGTTTGGAGCGGGAGGGAGTGGGGGATGCATGATTGGGGGCAGCCCCGCATGGGATTGCAGAGGGGAATGAAGATGTGTTGTGAGTTAAGCACATGCCCACGTTTAAGTACACGCTGCGCAGCACGGGGAACTGGTGGGGGTGGGGGAAGAAGGGGGGGGCGGGGGGGGAAAGGAAGGGAGTCGAAGCTGTGCGTTGAGTTGAACACCTGCCCAACCACGTTTAAGTACACGCTGCGCAGCACGAGGAACTGGTGGGCGTGGGGAAAGAAGGGGGGGGGAGGAGGGAATGAGAAGAAGATACATGCATAGATATGCGAGGAGGATCAGCAGCCACTCCAGGTCATTCTTCTGAATGCACGTCGGGTCCACCTCCTTGCAATTCACAGAGCACCTCACCCAGCCAACCCCATTCCCATTCCCCCCTTGTCCCCCATCCCCCGCCTCCCTCCATCCCTTCCTCCTCAGCACCCACCTGAGTGGATCACTTGTTGTGCGGCAGCAGGTCATTCTTGTGAATGCACGTCGGGTCCACGCCCTTGCAGTTCACAAAACTCCTCACCCAGCCCTCCATCCATCCCTCCTACCCACCTGAGCGGACCACTTGTTATGCGGCAGCAAATCATTCTTCTGGATACACGTCGGGTCCACGCCCTTGCAGTTCACAGGAGGCCGCGTGGCCGCCCGCTTCTCATCCGCGATCCCTGCCTCCCAGCACGACCCAATCCCAGGGAACCGCTCGAACCCAAACTCAAACACCGGGCAAGCCGGCCCTCTGGACGCCTTGGGAGGCTCCAGACCCGCTTTAGCGGCGGTGAGTTGCGCCTCTTCGTTGTAACGAATCACGTCTAAGAGGACCGGGTAGAGCTCCGGTTGGGAGATGTTGGTCTGGAGCCGAGCCTTGGAAGGAGGGATCCAGGAGAGGACGAAGCTGCCGTTGATTGGTGCCCACCGGGCTGCCGAACCTGGATGCAAGGTCCGGGGTTTGGTTGGTTTCAGAGGGTTGGGTGCGGATGATGCGCTGTGGCTAGTGGTGCTGTCACCATCCCTGCCGTCACTGATGCCACTGCTGCTGCTGCTGCTGCTGCTGCTGCTGTCACTGCTGCTGCCACTCCAACCACTGCCACTATCACTACTGCCACTGCTGCTGTCACTGCTACCGCTGCTACTGTAGCTGTCCCCCATGCCACCATAACCACTGCTGCCACCGCCGCCGCTGCTGGAGCTGCTCCTCATATTGACAATTTCCGGGCCAGACTGAGTCGAATCCGAGAACCGTTGCTGCAGGATCGCATCCCCACCCCCTTCCCCCCTTCCGCCCCCTTCCCCCCTTCCGCCCAACCCCAACCGCTCTCCATCCGAGCGATCCTCTCCTCCCCGTGCCAACGTGCCAGCTGTCGCTCCTGGCGAGTCCACGTGGTGTAACCTGGGATTGCCACCTGCCCCCATTTCCCCTCCCCCAATCTCCCCAGCCCCTCCCATTCCGGCTGCCCCAAACCCCCCAGCTACAGCACCTCCTGATCGTTGATCTACCGAATTCCCTACTGTTGATCCTTCATAGTAGCCACCTCTACCACCGTACGCCCCTCCTCTCCCGTTATAGTCACGGCTCTGAAGCATTCTCCCGTCATCTGAACCCCACGGGTCCGCCCCCCGTGACCCCCCTCTTCTTCTGTGACTGTGAAGGACCGACTCTTCAGACGGGTATGAAGACGATCTGAGAAACGACCTGTGGTTCAGAATCCACACTAGAAACGCGGCGCCTCCTATCAACAGCAGCAGCCGAGTGGTGCTGCTTTCGCCAAACGCGCTGCTAAGTCCATCGCCCGCGATCCCCGCGCCGCTGGCTCGCTTCCGAATCGGAGCGCGTTTCTTGGCTACCTTCACCGCCATGGCAAATTCCTAAAATTTCTTTAGAATCCGTCACAAGGAGATCAACTCGCAGGTTTCTTAGCCACCTTCACCGCCATGGCAGACGGAGAAGAGGAAGATCACGAATCAGGATTACTCTCTCATCGAAGGAGCGTCAAGAGGTGGCCAATCAGGAATCGAGCTTCTTCGTAGGAGGCTTTAATCGATGATCCGCGGCAAATTAAACGCTGGACACTACCCGAGCTATCAGCTGATGACAGCTCCTTTGACTCAGAATCTTTTAGCATGAAGATTTCAGACTGCTGGGAATGTCGGAATTTCAGAATCGCTACTTAAGACTCTCAGAGCCTAGAATCCGTGTCTAGAATCTAAATCCCTCTAAATCGTTTGGTAACGATTTCGCTCCCCTCCAAGAGGGAGGCATATGCGGCTGCTGCATGATTGAAATCGGTGCATCCTCGAGAGTACGCAAGTGAAATAAACGCGGCGAGCTAATTCTTGGAGTGATTCGGGCTAACGAGCGTGTGCGGATTTCCGCAGGGCTTAAACGAACCCGGCGCTGCGATCCATCGTAACCCCCCGAATCGCCCCAGCGTTTCAGTTCCCGGGGTGCTACAAGCTGGCGTAACCAGCCGGAGAAGGTATGGCAGATGGTTTCTAGAATACTAAGATTCACCCTGCGATTCGGAGGAATGCTGCTCCGAAGATGACGGCAACGGCTGAAGCAAATTACTATTTTGGAAGTCGGTATCTAGGGAGAGTCGCACGAGACGCGCACGTCGCTGCGCGCCGCAAATGCGCACGCGGCGCGAGTCCAACACTAGTACTAGTCAAAGAACCGTGACGCAATGCTGCTGATCACTTAGCGTGAGCCGAGAGTTGCAACGAACACGGGACTAACGCCGGTCGAGGAACGTCATCACATAAATCGCGACGCGACAGACACGGGGATAGGGAACCTCAGGTAATGCGAACTCGCGAGCGTGGAAAGAGTAGGTTAAGGAATGCCGTAGTTGCGGTGGCAGCATAATAGATGGGAATTGAAGTCCACGCGACAAGTACAGGCACAAGCATATTCTCTCGAGGTTCATTTGATCGGGTTGGGTTTGGGGAGGGAGTTGTGTCGTGTCGGTGTTCCCAAGAACACAGGCAGGGTTCGCTTCGCTTTTAGCAGACCCGTTACAGCATATGGTCCCGACAGATTATAGATTGGGGGAAAGTCGTACCCGTTTGTCACTGAAGCCACGCTTCATCAAGTTTTAAGGCGTAAATGGTAATCATTAAGCATAATCGTTAATGCCAATTTAGGCAGATTTACTCACGGTGTTGATCGCATTCAAAACCACATATCAGAAATACTCAAACTTATACCGTCGAAACGCATCCGGCCCACGCTCCTCATACTCCTTCCGACTCACAGCCTGCCGAAGCAATCTCCTCCCATCCCCAGCCATGGCTGCCGCTCCCCTCCACGCGTCCCAGAACACATCCCGTGCTTCCACAATCTTTATCCCACTCCCCATTGGCAGCACCTGACGATACTCCGCCTCCAACCTGCCCCTCATTCCGGGCAGCAGCGAACTTCCTCCGGTCAGGAAGAGAAAGCTCGGCGGAACGTTTTCCATGCCCAAACCAGCAGTGGCAACCACAAAAGCACCACTTGCCGACTTGGTTCTAGAGTACAAAGGGACTAGTTTGCTCCTTAGCTCCTCCGCCGTTCTTCTCACAGCTGCTCCCAAACTTTCGCCCAAGCCTGCCCGGTCCAGCCCAATCAGAGATGGCTCGAAAATAATTTCAGCTGCCCGGACGCGCTCCACGCCGAGCCGGATCTGATAGTCTGCGTCGGTGGGCTGCCGAACCGAAGGTCCGGGAACGCTGGTAGCCGTGCCTGGAGCTGTGGTTGAAGCAGGCGCGGCATTGATGGAGACTAGGAAGGTTGGGTCCACCTCCTGAGAGAGACAAGGGGCCGTCGGGGGCGAATGGGGAATGGGGGACAAATAGGGGATGGGAATGACCGTTTCCCAGTAAAACTCGTAGTGGAAAAAGCATGGAACTAGGTCACATCACATGCACACTGCACCTACACCGTCACCCCAGTGTATCCCCTATCTCGTGCCCACTTCCTTCACCATTCCTGCACATAGCCACACTTGCACCCCCCCTCACCTGCACCCACCCTCACCTGCACCCCCCCTCACCTGCACCCACCCTCACCTGCACCCCCCCTCACCTGCACCCCCCCTCACCTGCCTCTCACCACCCTAACTCTCACCACCCTCCCTCACCTGCACGCCCCCTCATCCTCACCTGCACCCACTCTGACCTGCACCTGCTGACAGCCCTCACTCTCACCTGCACCTGCTGACAGCCCTCACTCTCACCTGCACCTCCTGACAGCCCTCACTCTCACCTGCACCTGCTGACAGCCCTCACTCTCACCTGCAGCCTGGCTATCAGCTTCTCCAGCTCTGCTGCCTCCCTCTCCGCCTCCTCCTCCTCTTCCTCCTCCACGCCCTTAGCGCTCATCCGCTTATACACCAGCCAGTCCTCGTCCCTCATCCCAAAATCATCCTCCTCCCCTGCTCCCCCTCCCCCTTTCCTCCCTCCTCCACCCCCTCCTTCCCCCCCTCCCCCTCCTCCTCCCTTCCCTCCGCCCGCGCCTCGCCGCCCTTTCTTACTCTCAAAAGCTGCAGCAGTCAGAAGCTTCATCCTCTCCCTGTGCGCAGCAGTAATCCGCTCTGTTCGCCCACCAGCCACACTCCGAGCAAGGGCGCCTCCCAGCCCCACGCCCGTGCCCCCTGCAAGGGCACCAGCAGGGCCCCCCAGTGAGGTGATGTCTAGAGTCGCACCTTTCACAGCCTGGCCTGACGCTGCTGCTGCTGCTGCTGCCGCAAGAGAGAGCACAGGCGAGACAGCTAATCCTCCTCCTGAAACCCCTCCTCCTGCTAATCTTACTCCTGCTCCTGCTGCGCCTGCTGCCGTTGCTCCTGCTGCTCCTGCTGCTCCTCCTGCTGCCCCTGTTGCTGCCCCCACTGTCCCACCTCCTCCTACCGCTTCTCCCCCACTGGCACCTCCTTCCGATCCCATGCCCTTCCCACCAGACTCTTCCCCTCCCACTGATGGCGACGCCGCAGCACCAAGAACCACGCCCCCTGCTCCCAACTTCCTCCGCTTCCTCTGCTCCAGTGCTGTCTGCAGCTGCTGGAACCGCGCCTTCAACTCTGCTGCATATGCCTCGGGGTTCTCCCTGCAAGGGAAAGCAAGAAGCAACGGAAACAGGCAACAAGCATGGTCACAACAGGGGCACAATGAGGGATCAAGCTGTCAACCACGCCCCCTGCTCCCATCCTCCGCTTCCTCTGCTCCAGTGCTGTCTGCAGCTGCTGGAACAGCGCCTTCAGCTCTGCTGCATATGCCTCGGGGTTCTCCCTGCAAGGGAAAGCAAGAAGCAACAAGCAACTGAAAAATGAAGCTGTCAACCATCCCTCCGCTTCCTCTGCTCCAAGGCCGCTTGCAGCTACCGAAATCGCGCCCTCAAGTCTGCTGCATACGCCTCTGGATTCTCCCTGCAGAGAAGGCAAGAAGCAACAGTCGACAGGCGAGAGGCAAGAGGCAAGAAGCAAGGGAAGAGGCAAGAAGCAAGAGGGAAGAGGCAAGAGGCAAGAGGGAAGAGGCACGAGGCACTAGGCACGAGGCACGAGGCACGAGGCACGAGGCAAGAGGGAAGAAGGAAGAGGGCAACACACAACAGAGGCAACGAAAAGGAGACACGAAGGTGAAGTTGGGAAATAGGCTCCCAAACCTGCTTCACGCAGCAAGCTGCAATGCCTGCAAAACCGCTCGCCACCTTCTTCCCCTCTCAACTCGTCCCCACCCGCCTCACCGCCTCCTCCTCTCCGCCTCACCCATCCAGCCAGCCCACCCATCTCACCTCCTCTTTTCTCTCCTCCTCGTCCCTCTCAGCAGCCGCCTTGGCTCGCTTCTCCTCTGCCGCCTGTCGCATCGCCTGCCCCAATGCGATCATCAAGGCACCTCAGAAGTAGGCTCATCCCGCACGACTCAAAGCCCTTCACACCTTGACTCGTCCCCACACGCCTCACCTCCTCTTCCGCTCCTCTTCATCCCTCTCAGCAGCCGCCTTAGCTCGCTTCTCCTCTGCTGCCTGACGCATCCTCGCCTGCCCCAGCGCAATCCCTCGCATCGTCCGCTGCCGCCGCTTCTCCCTCAGCTGCCATGCAACGCCGAATGCAGGGAAGGGTGAGAAAACAGTTAATAGATATCCCAGAACGGAAAGACTAGAGGGTGGAGGGATGAATAGAGGATGCAGGAAACGAGGGAGGGATAACCCTACAGGACGATTTTTGAGTCGACTCAAAAATAACCCTACAGGACGATTTTTGAGTCGACTCAAAAATAACCCTACAGGACGATTTTTGAGTAGACTCAAAAATAACCCTACAGGACGATTTTTGAGTCGACTCAAAAATAACCCTACAGGACGATTTTTGAGTCGACTCAAAAATAACCCTACAGGACGATTTTTGAGTCGACTCAAAAATAACCCTACAGGACGATTTTTGAGTAGACTCAAAAATAACCCTACAGGACGATTTTTGAGTCGACTCAAAAATAACCCTACAGGACGATTTTTGAGTCGACTCAAAAATAACCCTACAGGACGATTTTTGAGTCGACTCAAAAATAACCCTACAGGACGATTTTTGAGTCGACTCAAAAATAACCCTACAGGACGATTTTTGAGTCGACTCAAAAATAACCCTACAGGACGATTTTTTAGTCGACTCAAAAATAACCCTACAGGACCACGAAAAGAGAGGAGAAAGGAGGAATGAGCAGCAAGATGAGAAACGGAAGGGCGTTCGCTTTGCTCACCTCCTCGGCGTGCCCTCATTCCCCTCACCTCCTCTACTGTCAGTTCTGCATCCGGGACATCCAGCCGCACCTGTCGGTGGTACACCACCAACTCATCCTGCTCTGTTGATTGAGCCAACTCACCGCCTCTGCGCCCCAACTTCTCCTCCCACCTCGTCTGCTCTCAAACCCCTCCTTGCACCTCCTCGGCTGTCAGTTCTGCATCCGGGATATCAAGCAGAGGGTACGGTACAGCACCGACTCATCCTGCTCCTATGAGTCGACTCTCACTGCACCACCTTACCTCCTTTGCTCGTCAGGTCACTCCTCTCTCACCTCCTCAGCCGTCAGTTCTGTATCTAGGACATCAAGCAGACGGTACAGCACCGACTCATCCTGCTCCTCCTTTGAGTCGATTCGAAGTTACTCACATCAGCTCTTTTTCACCTCCCCTCTACCCTCACCTCCTCTCTCCTCGCACCTCCTCAGCCGTCAGATCTGCATCCGGGATATCAAGCAGAGGGTACAGCACCGACTCATCCTGCTCCTCCGCCCCCCCAGCCACCGACCCCGTCTCGCCCTCCTCCCCTTCACCCTCACCCTCCTCGCCCTCCCCCTCGCCCTCCTCCCCCCTCAGTTTCCTGAGAGTCGCCAAGCTCTTGGCGAGCTTGCCTCGTGCTTCTGAGAGGGTGGCACAGCGCACACGGGAGAGCAGCTGCGATAAGGGGTGGAGCGGAGAGGGTGGACGAGGAGAGGGGAAAGGGGAAATGGGAGAAAGGGTAGGGGGGGGAGAAGGGCTTTTGAGTTTTCTGAGAGTGGCCATGCTCTTGGCGAGCTTGCCTCGTGCTTCTGAGAGCGTGGCACAGCGCACACGGGAGAGCAGCTGCGGAGTGGGAGGGAGAGGGGAAAGAGGGGGGGTAGGAGGGGCGGACTTTGAGTCGACTCAAAAGAGGGGCGGACTTTGAGGCACTTCAGCAGTCGCCGTGCTCTTGGCGAGCTTGCCTCGGGCCTCTGACAGTGTGGCACCACGCACACGTGAGAGCAGCTGAGAGGTTGGGGGAAAAAGGGGAGGGGATAGTGGGGGAGGGTTTAAGCGCCTGAAAGCTGCCATGCTCTTGGCGAGCTTGCCTCTGGCTTCTGACAGAGTGGCACAGCGCACACGCGAGAAGAGCAGAGCAGCTGGGAGGGAGGGGAAGGGAGGAGTGGAGAGGGCGGAGAGGGGAAAGGGGAGACGGGAGAACGGGTAGGGGGGAGAGATGGGCTTTTGGGTTTTCATGAGAGCTGCCATGCTCTTGGCGAGCTTGCCTCTGGCTTCTGACAGAGTGGCACAGCGCACACGCGAGAAGAGCAGCGCAGCTGGGAGGGGAAGGGAGAGAAGGAGGGGGCGGGGATGTTGGGGGTGGGGGGGGGGATAGGGTGCGCGGGAAGACGGGAGAAAGGGGATGTAGGAGGGATGTACTTCACCAAACGTCACAGATGAAATCCAAACGTCACATATGAAATCCAAACGTCACCGATGAAATCCAAACGTCACAGATGAAATCCAAACCTCACAGATGAAATACCAAACGTCACAGATGAAATCCAAACCTCACAGATGAAATCCAATCCTCACAGATGAAATCCAAACCTCACAGATGAAATCCAAACCTCACAGATAAAATCCAAACCTCACAGATGAAATCCAAACCTCACCATAATCGCCTCTCTCCCTTCCGCCCCGTCCTCCACATCTTCGATCACCGCTCTCAACCCCTCCACCTCGCTCTCCACCTCCTCCAACTCCGCCGCCCGCTTCGCCGCCCGCTTGGCAGCCGCCATGTCTCGCAGGCGCTGCCCCGCGCGCTCCTTGTTGGCCGCCCGCCTCGCCACCTCCTCTTCCGATGGCCCCTGGGGAGCCACGGGCACCACCCATGGAAGCTGCCAGGAAACCACCGGGACGTCTGGGGACTGGGTGGTGTGGGAGGGGGGAAGGGAGGAGGGGAGGAAAGGAGGGGATGATGTGCGGGTGTCAGTGGCTATTTAGTTGCTTCAAAGGAGGAGTGTGTAAGTGCACGGGTGCATGCAATGTCCCGCAGCCACCATGACTCTCACGCGCTCCTTGTTGGCCGCCCGCCTCGCCACCTCCTCCTCTGACGGGCCCTGGGGGGCCACGGGCGCCGCCCACGGAAGCTGCCAGGAAACTACTGGCGCATGTGGGGACTGGGTGGAGGAGGGGTTGAGGGGATGGAGGGAGGGAAGGGAGGGAGTATTAAGGGTTTTGGTGGCTTGTATTGCAGAGTAATGAAGGATTCGAAACGCAGCAAGCCGTGTGGTCGCCGTTGAAACCTTGTATTGCAGGTTCTGAAGGGTGCCTTCGTTTCCGTGCATGCTTGCTTGCTTGCTTGCTTGCTTGCTTGCTTGCTTGCTGCTGTCGGCGCAAGCATGTGCATGACGGGACGGGATGTATCATGGATGTGATGTGACATGTGCATGCATGCTGTCGTTACTCAATCAAGAGTCGTTGGAACGACCCTCCATAGCCATTTGAGAGTCACTCAACGAACGACCGTCCCACCCTTCACAACCGTGCACAACTGTCCACAACCGTCCCATTCTCCACAACCGTGCACAACCATGTCACCTGGAATGCCTTCAATTCCTGCGAGTAGTCAATGGCCACATACACACCCCGGCACTTCATCTCCTCGGCTCTCTCCCACGTTATGACAGATCTGTGGTGGCACATGTGATGTGGCATGACAGAGTGACATGGCATGACAGAGTGACGTGGCATAACAGAGTGATGTGGCATGACAGAGTGACGTGGCATGACAGAGTGACGTAGCATGACAGAGTGATGTGGCATGACAGAGTGACGAGGCATGACAGAGTGACGTGGCATGACAGAGTGACGTGGCATGACAGAGTGACGTGGCATGACAGAGTGATGTGGCATGAAAGAGTGATGTGGCATGACAGAGTGACATGGCATGAGAGGTTGACGTGGCATGACAGAGTGATGTGGCATGACAGAGTGACGTGGCATGACAGAGTGATGTGGCATGACAGAGTGATGTGGCATGAAAGAGTGATGTGGCATGACAGAGTGATGTGGCATGACAGAGTGATGTGGCATGACAGAGTGATGTGGCATGCCAGAGTGACATGGCATGAGAGGTTGATGTGGCATGACAGCGTGTTTGCGTGCGTGTGAGTGAGTGCGCGCGTGCATGTGTGTGTGCGCGAGTGCGCGCGTGTGTGTCTGTGTGTCTGTGTGTATGAGTGTGTGCGCGAAATAATAATATTGCAACGAAAGCTGGAATCAGGCATACAGGCCGTGCTTGATTGAAACCAAACAATTCACTGCTATGACCTGTCAACGATTGATGAAACACAGTGTGCGGTACGAACACAAAGCTTTGCAAAACGGTACAGAGTGGTGCACTGATTGACATGCCATGAGGATATCAGGCCTCATGCCAGCCTTCTTTCCATCATCCTATGCAGAGGAAGAATGTAAAAATGGAAGATTTTTTTTAAGGACAAACGAGCAAGAGAGAGGAACGGAGCGTAGAGGATGGGGGGAGGAAGGGTGGGGTGAGGGAGGGGAGGGGGGTGGAGGTGGGGTCGGGGGAGATACGAAGGTGGCGAAGAGGGATCCTGAGCTGTGAAGCGCATACACGCCTTCTGGTGAAGCTGTGAAGCGCATACACGCCTTCTGGTGAAGCTGTGAAGTGCATACACGCCTTCTGGTGAAGCTGTGAAGCGCATACACGCCTTCTGGTGAAGCTGTGAAGCGCATACACGCGCATACACGCCTTCTGGTGAAGCTGTGAAGTGCATACACGCCTTCTGGTGAAGCTGTGAAGCGCATACACGCCTTCTGGTGAAGCTGTGAAGCGCATACACGCCTTCTGGTGAAGCTGTGAAGCGCATACACGCCTTCTGGTGAAGCTGTGAAGCGCATACACGCCTTCTGGTGAAGCTGTGAAGTGCATACACGCCTTCTGGTGAAGCTGTGAAGCGCATACACGCCTTCTGGTGAAGCTGTGAAGCGCATACACGCCTTCTGGTGAAGCTGTGAAGCGCATACACGCCTTCTGGTGAAGCTGTGAAGCGCATACACGCCTTCTGGTGAAGCTGTGAAGCGCATACACGCCTTCTGGTGAAGCTGTGAAGCGCATACACGCCTTCTGGTGAAGCTGTGAAGCGCATACACGCCTTCTGGTGAAGCTGTGAAGCGCATACACGCCTTCTGGTGAAGCCGTGAAGCGCATACACGCCTTCTGGTGAAGCTGTGAAGCGCATCCACGCCTTCTGGTGAAGCTGTGAAGCGCATACACGCCTTCTGGTGGCTTTTGAGTCGACTCAAAAAGTCACCTCGTTACACTGGCACATGATAAGAAGGTGGCAAAGAGTGGGCCTGAGCTGTGGGCACGTACGCGTGTTGTGGATAGAGCAGAGTGAGAAGGCGCTTCAGGTAGTCAGTGACGTGCCATCCGCCAACGGGAATGCGACACGTGGCGTCCAGCAGAGGCTGCCCTGCGATCATCTGCCTGCACACATGGCGCCACGTGGCAACGCACGATTGGCTCTTGATGGCAGCAGAGGAGCGCGCAGTTCAGAAAGCAAGAACGAGAGAGGGGGGAGGATAGATAGAGAATGGCGGGCGAGAGAGCGAGAAAGAGGGCGTGAAGGGGCAAAAGAGAAAGTGCAGGAGAGCGAGAAAGAGCGCGTGAAGGGGCAAAAGAGAAAGTGCAGGAGATCGAGAAAGACCGGGTTAGAGAGCGAAGGAAGGGGGCAACAGCAGGAGCGCACGCACGGGCATGACATGGGTGGTGGAGTGGCCGCAGTTGACAAGCAGACCGTCCGGTACAGAGTGGTGCTGTGCGGTGTTGTGGCGATAGCTGAACACCCCATCCACTCCGAACGCTGCAAGAGTGCAGGGCAGCCGATGTGGTGGAGAGGGGTGGGATGGGATGGCATGAGATGTGAGAAGAGCATTGGAGACGAGGGTATGAGGTGAAGTGAGAGGCTTCTAGTGGAAAGTGAGTGAGGAAGGATTGAGGACGGAAGGGGAAGGGAGGGGTGGAGAGGAGTGGAGAGGAGTGGAGAGGAGTAAAAGTTGAGCAAGGCAAGGCAAGGTGGAATGGTAAGTATGGCAGGTGGGTGGGACGGACATAGCGTGACAAGACATGACATGGCGTGACAAGACATGACATGGCATGACAAGACAAGACAAGACATGACATGACATCCGAGTGACGCCCTGGCAAACTGCACAAGCTGACACGACCTCTCTAGCAACGAACGGACACCACAACACTCCCGCAACGCCCACGCACAAAACGCCTTATCACACTCCCCAACACTCCATGGCAGGGATGCTACACCTGTATTGCCTTACCCAGGGCAGGCACGCCGTAGGTTTCAAACATGAGCTTTGCTGGCTTGCCACGCATGCATATCCCAAGCTTACCAAGCAGCAATGCTACACCTATGTGCCTTATCCAGGACAGCAATACCACACCTGTACATCCCAAACTTACCCAGGGCAGGGACGCCGTAGGTTTCAAACATGAGCTCTGCTGTCTTGCCACGCGTATACAGGGGCGCGCAGGGAGCCTCGGTTAATAGCACAGGGTGGTTTACCCTGCCGCAGGCTTCCACCCCCAATCGATCAAACGCGTAATCAAATATCTGAGAGGTAAGGCGCGAAAAAGCATGGTGGAAAGGGAGGAGAGGAGGAGGAAGAGGGGGTGGGTGGGGTGGGCGGGGAGAGGAATGAGAGGAACGGGCAGGGAATTAACAGGGGAGGGAGGAAGATGAAGGATGGGTTTTGAGAAGGGGATTGTAAACGAAAGTGTAGAGTCCCGGAGGGGAAATTCGAGGAAATGCGGAAGAAAGGAACGGGAAGCTAGGCTGAGGCAGAACAAGAGAGGGGGGGAGGGTAGCAGCGAGAGAGGCATACATACGCATTCCATGAGCTCCAAGTCATCGATGACGTTGGACTCAAAGGGCGAGCGAGTCGACTCAAAAGTCACCTCGATTCCATGAGCTCCAAGTTATAGATGACGTTGGACTCAAAGGGCGAGCGAGGAATTGAGGGGATAGGGAGGGACGAAGAGCGGTGAGGGAGGGAGCGCAGCAAGTGGGTGGGGGCCATACGCATTCCATGAGCTCCAAGTTATAGATGGACTCAAAGGGTGAGAGAGGGATGGGGAGGGAGGGCGGGAGCGAGGGAACGAGGGCAGTGAGCGAGGGAGGGTAGTAAGCAAAGCAAGGGCCATACGCATTCCATGAGCTCGAAGTTATAGATGACGTTGGACTCAAAGGGCGATCGGACGCTCTGCCGCCCAAACTCCAGCGCCCTCAGCGCGGGCCACGTGGGGTCCCAGTCGCCCACCACCGTCACCTGCGAGCCTGGCGGTGGAGGGGAGGGGGTGAAGGGGGACATGGGCAAGGCAAAGAGGCTGCCGGTTGCTTGCTGCCAGTGGTGTCAGCTCCAGCGCCCTCAGCGCGGGCCACGTGGGGTCCCAGTCGCCCACCACCGTCACTTGCGAGCCTGGCGGTGGTGTGATTGAGGTGAAGTGAGGTGAGGGAAGGATGGGTGGGCAGGGCAGGCAGGGCGCGGTCAATGCTGGGAGGATGGGATGACGGGCAGGGCGCGGTCAAAACACTTCTTCAAACAGGGCGCGGTCAAAACACTTCTTCAAACAGGGCGCGGTCAAAACACTTCTTCAAACAGGGCGCGGTCAAAACACTTCTTCAAACAGGGCGCGGTCAAAACACTTCTTCAAACAGGGCGCGGTCAAAACACTTCTTCAAACAGGGCGCGGTCAAAACACTTCTTCAAACAGGGCGCGGTCAAAACACTTCTTCAAACAGGGCGCGGTCAAAACACTTCTTCAAACAGGGCGCGGTCAAAACACTTCTTCAAACAGGGCGCGGTCAAAACACTTCTTCAAACAGGGCGCGGTCAATGCTGGGAGGATGGGATGACGGGAAGGGGCGAGCTTCGGTAATTTCAGCTCCAGCGGCCTCACTGCAGTGCAGTGCCGGCCACGTGGGGTCCCGGTCACGTCACCCACCACCGTCACCTGCAAGCCTGGCGGTGATTCATTTAAGTGATGCGAAACGAAGGGGGAGAGGGGGGGGGATAGACGAGCATGGGTGGCGAAGCACAGCCTCTCACTTCTCACCCTCTCACCCTCTCACCCTCTCACTCTCTCACCCTCTCACTCTCTCACCCTCTCACCCTCTCACCCTCTCACCCTCTCACCCTCTCACCCTCTCACCCTCTCACCCCCATTCTCCCCCCGTTCCCCCCGTTCCCCCCGCCCCACCCTAACCCCTCCTCTTCCCACCCCCACCACTCACCCCAGTCCTCCCAGCTCACTCCCGCTCACCCCCGCTCACCCCCGCTCACCCCAGCTCACCCCCGCTCACCCTCGCTCACCCCCGCTCACCCCCGCTCACTCCCGCTCACCCCCGCTCACCCCCGCTCACCCCAGCTCACCCCCGCTCACCCTCGCTCACCCCGCTCACCCCCGCTCACCCCCGCTCACCCCCGCTCACCCCCGCTCACCCCCGCTCACCCCAGCTCACCCCCGCTCACCCCTGCTCACCCCCGCTCACCCCCGCTCACCCCCGCTCCTAGGCCGCGGCCGCCCCACGACGCTCCTGAAGTCCACCCGCGGATCCACCTCCCCTCCCCACCTGCGCGCAGGCCGCAGGGGGGAAGAGGGGAGAAGGGAAAGGGGGGAGGGGAGGGGGGAGGGGGAGGGGGAAGGGGGAGGGGGAGGGGGAGGGGGAAGGGGGAGGGGGAGGGGGAGGGGGAGGGGGAGGGAGGGCATGGAGGGGGGGGGGAGAAGGGGGAAAGACTAGAGATGGGGGTGAGGAGGCAACGGAGGATAGGGGTGGCGGGGGGGCCGGGAACACGGGTGTGCGGGAAGAGCAACAGGCACAGAGAAGGGAGACGGAAAACAAGGGGAAATAGGTTGGCGGAAGAGGAATTATGCGCAGGTAGAGAGCAAGGGAAAGCGGAATCAAGGGGAGTTTGCGGAGCAATGGAGATGAAGGTGAATGAATGGGCGAAGGTTGAAGGGAGAGGAAGGGAGGGGAGGAGGGAGGGGGAGAGGGGGGGGGGGGGGGGGGGGGGCGGGGGGAGGGCGGGGTTGTAATGCATTGGAGTCAGATAGCAGCAGATGGCACCTGGAATCCTTTTTGTTGTTGATTCTCGGAATTTTCAAAATCAACCTAATACAAAGAGGGGTCGTGTGGGGGGCGTGGGGGGAGGTTGCAATGGCGGCAGATAGCAGCAAATGCCACCTACAATTCCCAACGCCGCCATACTTATTCGGCTCTCGAGTAACCTGATCACTCAAGGGAGTTATGAGTTGACAGGGGTACCACCACCCATCCTAGGTAACGCCTACCCTCGATAACACCTACTCCAGCGAACGCCTACCCGTGCCTATCCCATACGGCACCCAGCCTATTCGGCAGCGGTGCGAGCCATTGTCGACGACTGCGAACGCATCCTAGGTAACACCTACCATGGTTACCACCATCCTAGGTAACACCTACCCTGGTTACCACCTTCCTAGGTAACACCTACCCTGGTTATCACCATCCTAGGTAACACCTACCCTGGTTACCACCATCCTAGGTAACACCTACCCTGGTTACCACCATCCTAGGTAACACCTACCCTGGTTACCACCATCCTAGGTAACACCTACCCTGGTTACCACCATCCTAGGTAACACCTACCCTGGTTACCACCATCCTAGGTAACACCTACCCTGGTTACCACCATCCTAGGTAACACCTACCCTGGTTACCACCATCCTAGGTAACACCTACCCTGGTTACCACCATCCTAGGTAACACCTACCCTGGTTACCACCATCCTAGGTAACACCTACCCTGGTTACCACCATCCTAGGTAACACCTACCCTGGTTACCACCATCCTAGGTAACACCCGACTTCAAGGATAGCCCACCACCCCGCACGGCACCCACCCTATTCGACAGCGGTGCGAGCCGTTGTCGATCACCACGAACGCGTCGCTTCTATCCGCGTATTTCGCGCGATAATCGCCGCATCGAGCGGGCCGCTCAAGCACCCCGCCTCCCCCATCGATGTTTTTCCCCTCCGCATCTCTCCCTTGTCGACCACCCCGATCGCGGAAATCGCGGAAGTCGCCTCCGTCATCCCCGCCGTCACCCACGCCGCCATCCCCGCCGCCACTGCTTCTACGGCCGCGATTGGCGCAGCTCCGCTTCCCCAAGTACCGGTCGGCTCCCCATTCGCCGAACTGCAGCACTGGCGGCGAGCCGCTGAGGGGTTGCGATCTGTCAGCGGCGTCGGAAGGCGTCAAAGCGCGGATAGGTATTGGAGTCATACGGCGGACCGTTTCTTGGCACGTATCAAAGCATGGGACAACAGCTGGAATCGTTTGTTCAACTCTTGAAGATCATCCAAGGTGCGACTCACGTTCGTCCGAATACGGCTCAGTGAGATGCTATACGTTGCACAAAGGTTTAACCAGTATGTAGATTGGTTGGGTAGAGTTCGGAGCAAATGATAGCATTGAGTACGTGTCCCGCCAGTAGCAGTAGCAAACCGGAACAGTGCTCGCGATTTCTGTGCTCCGATAAGGAGCAACGAATATCGTAACGACCAAATAATGGGGGGAGGGGGGGATCTCATTGACTCGCATGTAAAATCCTTGTTGCTTGCATCAAGAAGTTTTGTTAAAGCCTTGGCCCAACTATCAGCTTCAACTTCGAAGTATTATAGCTTGGAACTTGGTTGTCCCAGGCAGTTCTGTGGCGAGAAGTTTGTCTTTTCCGAGATTCCATTTTTTTCATCCAATAAGGGTCTCGTTACGCACACTCCATGTTTGTCCTGCTACTGTTCCTAAGAAGTTGCACCTCGCCTTTAATGGCTGTAGTGTCAGATCATTCAGACTAACTCTTTCTGGATGTACTACACGGATAGTGAAGCTGTTAAAGGCGGGGTGCAACTTCTTAGGAACAGTAGCAGGACAAACATGGAGTGTGCGTAACGAGACCCTTATTGGATGAAAAAAATGGAATCTCGGAAAAGACAAACTTCTCGCCACAGAACTGCCTGGGACAACCAAGTTCCAAGCTATAATACTTCGAAGTTGAAGCTGATAGTTGGGCCACGGCTTTAATAAGGACTCTTCTCTTGCGCACACGAAAGGCCAAGCTCCTTTGGGACCAATCGAAGGGCTGTCTCTTTTGAAGAGCCAAAGAGCAACAAATACATGCAATTTCCATTTGCAGAACACCCCCACAAATTAACGAGAGTTGTTGTGCTCGTTTTTTTGTTTTGTGATTTTGTTTCCTAGTTTCTATTTGTTTGATTGTTTCTCTTCAGTTCGTGTAAAAACCAGGGTTCGGCCCACTCCGTTCAGTGTGCTCGATCACATGGCTTAGAATAGTGGGACAAGACAACTGTAAACTGAAAATGAGGACCGTATGTATGACTGACAGAACACACACTTTCATTTAGAATGTCATGGTAGTAGGAAGCTTGCCAGATTAGCCAGAACGTTTGAGCACGATACACTGATTTTGAAACCAAACGTTCAATGTGATTGTATACGTACAGCGTGTGTTCACAATCGTAGGTTCTCAAGCATTCAAGCCATGGGCCCATGACTTCTCGTTCCCCTTGAATTCCTTGGTGTTTTCAGTTGAATTCCCTTGACACAGGCTGATTATGTGCATGAATGGCTCCACTTGGAGGCAAGGGGACTGCAATCAGCTACTAGGGTGGCGAAATTTGTTGAAGCAGTTCCTCCCATCAACTAGGGTGGTCAAAGTGGAAAAGACACAATGGATTGATCTAGTGCTTAAAAGCGCTTAAAACAGTTACGACTGCCGATGTATTATTGTACACTTAAAATGATACTTTTATGAAAGTAAGTGCTGAAGTACAAAAGCCCGCAATGTACGATGGTTTTCGCGGTCTTGTGTTCTTCTATCTCTATTGCACAGAGCACATGAACCCCCGTAAAATTGGACGATCGTCCTGGCAGACTGACTGGGCTATTTGGCTTCAAAGTGTTTCATGAAATCCGCTTCCACTGTGGTGTGGGACAAGTTCACGTGCAGCCAAATTTAATGCAATGCCCGCGTGTCCACTCGTTGCTAGCCGCCATTCAAAACCACCAACCACGCCCTCACACGCTCCAGCTCTTGTCTTTCCTGGCGGTGTGTCGTGGGCCGCGATGCACACTCCTCTTGCAACGAAGAATGTGTCTGCCCGAACAGTTCCGAGACACCAGCCAAACTTCCTACAGTCTCTGTCTTCACCCGTGTCCATTAAAAATAATTGGGCCCGCCGACGCCAAGCCACTTGTTATCGCATCAACACAAGGCAATCCGCTTCGATTCTAGCGGCAGCAAAGGGCCGCACAGGATGAGCGCGAGTTGGCGCAAATCACTTGCCTGGTGCGGACGCAACCCACGATCCACCACTCCTCCCGTGCCCCATCAAACTCCACTGCATGTGAAAGGTTTTCCCCCAAGGTCCTTCCCCCACCGCGCAAGTCTATCCGCCTCAACCACCAGACTTCCCCCGCCTCTCCCCCCTTCCCCCATCTCACTCACTCGCCTTCCTCATTCCTTTTCCTTCCATTGCAAGTTGCACCCCCCCCCCCCCCCCCCCCCCCCTCACTCACTCCCACCCCCACCCTGACCCCAACCCCAACCCCCCTTCCTCCCACTCCCCAAGCCAGCGCATCCAGTTTCTGCCAGCTCCTCAACGCTTCGTCCTCTTGAAGATCTCCCTTGGCTAAATCGGTTTGTTTGTTACCGTTCCAAGTTTACTCAGCAAGCTTGGTTGTCCAGTTTCATTTTACGCCTTTTCACCCTAGGGTTTCTTAGCTTGGTGGAGCTCAAATTTGAGCAGCGCACACTGCTTAGCATTTCGCACGCCGCTGGGTTTTCCTCATAATGGTCGACCTCGTAGGGCGTTTCCAGAGTGACCTTGGCGCGGCGGGTCCGTGCTTAACTCTCGGGCCACCCGCGCGCTGGCTCGAGCCGCAGTCCCATCATGTTACGGAATTAGAACTCGGCAAACGCAAGGCGCGAGAAGTGCCGTCGCCGTCGAAATCTCGACCCCAGGAAACAACATCGTCGGAAGAGTGAGTCCCGTGAAGCGGCAATTGTGGCTCCAAGTCGCTGAGACTCCCAATCATCCTTAAATTTCTCCCGTTTCGCCCCTAACGTCGGCTGACTTTCCCTGTGCGCAGTGTGAGACTTCTGAGTCCGATGATCAAGAGCCCAGACTCTTCGAGACCTGCTCGGAAAAGGTGTGTCTCTTCGGAGATTCTCGATTGGTTCCGTGCCTTTTGGGGTTGCGAATCTAGGGACGCGGCGACGGAATGATTGCTTACGACTCGATTTCCGTGTCATGTTTGTTCACAGGTCGCGTGATGATCTGGAGGAAGCGGGACTCAGCAAAGCACAACGAGAAAAACTGCGTCGAGACCGACTTAATGACAGGTACAAGCCGTGACGCGGCTCGGAGTTGCTGTAATTAAGTCTCACGAGTTCTTGCACTTCAAGTTGCGTTGCGCCTTTTGGACGTCCATTGATTATCACGGCGGTTTTGTCTCATCAACGTTTTGTTGATTAATTGAATTATATTATTTACGTATTTTCCCTCTCCCTTTCAGGTTTCTTGAGCTGGGCCGCGAGCTGGATCCCACCACGACCCCTCGGACGGACAAGGGCATAATATTGAACAACGCTGTTCGTGTGCTCACCGGCCTCAAGGCGGAGGCTGCAGCTCTCAAGCAGGGCACGTGGCAGCTCCAGGAGCAGATCAAGGAGCTGAAGGTGAAAACAAATATACAGAATGAGAATCCTATATATATATATTATTTTCACTCTCTGGATCTCCGTTTGCATCTTTTCTGCACGTATCTCATACAACCATTTCAATTCTCTGTTTTCTCAGGCTGAGAAGTCTGAACTTCGGGATGAGAAGGCTCGCCTCAAGGCACAGCGGGAGTGCCTCCAATTGCAACTTCAAGCCCTGCCGCTTCCTACGCCAGATCGATTTTCGTCTCCTGCTGCTGCTGCCGCTGCAGCTGCCGCAGCCCTCGCTGCACTTCAGGCTGCAGCAGCAGGGCCCATGTCCAACCATTTCGCTGTGAAGCCTCCAGCGTCCATACCTGCTGATGCAGCACAGGGTGCGCCTGGTTCTGCATGGCAATGGCTTCAGTCTGCGTCAGGAGATGTTAAGAGAGACCAGATCCTTAGGGCTCCAGTGGCATGACTGCACTGGCTCACCTTTTTCCATCCCCTCAGTTGTGGGATGGTTGCTTACTAGCCTTGGAAGGCAAAGCAAGGCATTTATGGTTCTGTGTAGTGGTTCTTTGTGGGGTGTAGGGTGAAAAGGGGGGATGGTAGTATGCATGCGTAGATTTAGTTTTATTTTGCAGGTGGGAGGGCATTTTCTAGTAGCAACCAGCTACTGGTTGAGCTTGACACAACCCCTCCTTGCCCGGGGGGAGGAGCAGGGTGGGAGGATGATTGCTGGAAATTTTGTTTGTCGTCCTCTAAATCTAAATTTGAATATGTTTTCAGCTCTTTGCATGAAACAAACCACTCCCTGATGCTTTGTCAACTCATGAAGTTAGATATTGGTGGGATGACAAGGGGTGGCAGAGTGGCTGGCACAACTTCTGTTCTCGAGGGTTTTGAGCAAAAGATCAACTCACATTGATCAAATTTGGGGGAAGGCCAAGGGGGATGGCTGGACTCCAGGGTTCCACGGCGGAAGGAGGAAGTGGGGCGCAAGAGGGGTTGTCGGAGAGGAGGGAAAACTAGGGCCCTGTTCTGTTGGCGGATAAGGGGTGCGCAGCCCTAAAGCTGAACATTCGTGGAATGCGCATACCAAGGCTTAAAGCCCACGTCGAGCCTCCCGATTCGTTATTGTCTCCCGAACCTCTGGTGCGGGAGTTGTGCGCGCATTACTCATGCGTGCGCAAGAACGCTGAACTCTTTGCGCTGAGAAATTTCCACGAGCTTGGTTTCACAGGCAAATTTCCCGCATGGCCTGTGCGAGCCCTAAGCGCTCGTCAAGGGGTGATTGAAAAGGCGCACAACAAATAACGGGCAGATAGAAACACCCGTTTCGGGGTATTTTTTCGGTGGAATACTTGCCCAAAAAACAATCCAACGGCTATCCAGTAAGACTGCCACATCCAGTGCATCGGTTCGCGAGATTTTGACTTTGAAAGAGTGCCAGGGCAGTGTGTAACAACATTTTTTCGGGCACCCGGGAGAAAAAAAATCGTAACTTTGTCGATTACCAAACCCTTCGACGAGGCTGCAGGCCCTCTCTTCCTTTCGAGGAAAACGCTTGCGGCAGCTGCGAATGGCCAGTGCGCCAACAGAACAGGGCCTAGGGGCAACTGGTCAATCTGAGACAGCTGCCCTATGTGCATGGGGTTTGTCTGCGCTTGTTTGGCTGCTGTGCTACAGTGACTGCACGAGAGGAGGCTGCTGGTCAGCCCGATTTTTGCACGTGGAGCTCCTTCGAGCCGTGGAAGGTGGCGATAAGGCTGGTCGAAATCATCCAATCAATGTGGTTCAGGGTTTCGCTTTCATGCGCTCCCTGGACCATTTCCATGAGAAGGGGGCGTGGCTTGGAGCGCTTACGGCGTTTCTGCCTGACACGCGTGTCCCTCACATCTACACCAACCGCCATCGCGTGCCAGGGACGGTTGGACGACGTTCACGACGTTCGCGAGCAAATGGATCATTTTGAACAGTTTCCATGAGAATCGCTCTCACCCAATCAATAAGGTACTAGTCGAAGAGCCGCGCCGCTGCATGGCTCTGTATTTGTTCCTCAATTGAAGCATGGTTCATCCACACGTCAATATCCGGATCCGCGAAAGCAACCAGTCGCCACACACGCTCCCGCAACGAATCCATTTTTGCGCAATTGTGCACCTACGATCCGGAGGTGTGGTTGGGGATGGAAGCCTCGGATGAGACCTCAGGTCAGTCGTACACGTGCACCAAGGACGTCCTTGGTCTGGAAACCAGCACAAGTCGAACGCACTTGCCTTGGTCGAGAGAAGCTCATCAAACCACACCACGTTTGGTTTGGTTTTGGCCATCGCCAGAGCAGATTCTTGGCTTGGACGCAAAGGTGTTGCTGTGGTATGGATTCCGAGCGACCGCGTGCGGCTCCACCACTGGTTTGTGGCCCCGAACCACATGAAGTCATCAGATGGCAAAAACCTTCCCGCTGGTGCTCCCTCTCCCCAACCCAACCCCCCACTCCCAAATCCCTTTGAACTGTGTGCAAGGTATCTATTATGCCAGGGACTTGCGATCAGTAATTTGGACGCTCGACGATTTGCAGTTGCTCCCTTTACTCCCTCCTCGAGATACACCTGTTATCCTGTTGACTAAACCTCCAACCGCGGTATCATTTTGCCTCTTTCTAATTCACTGAAAGCCGGTTCTCCATTCCTGCCTTCAACGTCCCGCAATGGATTCGTCTCGTTCATTGAAACTAGAAGCAGACTGTGCGCTCTCGCTAGGTCCCATGTGGCAATCCCAGGACAGTCTTGAGAGAAGGTCAGCATATATGCAGACACATGTCCAGATAATCTGGTCCCATATTCGGCCTTGTTTTGATGCCTGTGACTCCAAATGACTCACTGTCATCTTCTCCTCCTGCTGCGTTATTCGTCCCCGTTGGCACAGCAGTCCAGACTCCGCTGCTAGACAACACTCGAACGACGGCTTACCGTCTTCTAGAAAACGGTAAGTTTTTTTCCGCTGCTGCTTCGCTTCGTGAGCACCCGAAAACTGTATTTAGTTTGGGGGTTACACTGGACTTATTTGCCTCGTGTCGCTTTTTCTCGTCCAGGGTTCGGGAAGACGGTGCTTGCGAGAGAGAAATTACCTTCAGCAAAGCCACCAGGGAGAAGTTGCGACGCGATAGATTAAACGACAGGTACCATTTATCGATCCTTCCTCCAATCACTTCGCGCTCCATCTCTGTTCCTCTAATCGCTTAGCACGCGGCCGTCCTTCGTTCCACAACTTCATTTCCGCATTCGTCGGCGGTAGTCCTTCGGCAGCGTGTTGAAAGACGTCGCATGTTTGTCTTCGCCACCCTCCAGATTTCAAGAACTTGCAAGGGAGCTTGGTCCGTCGGCAACCGTCAAGGTGGATAAGACAGTCCTCCTGACGGAAGCTGTTCGGTTGCTTGTTCGGTTGAGGACTGAAGCCGCAAGCCTGTTGACGAGTAACCAGCAGCTTCAGGATCAGATTAAGGAGCTCAAGGTACCGATTGTCAGCTCATACGTTTGTCGTCCTCGAAATTGCACCATTTGGTTTTTGCTCACCAGAAGTTCGGTTTGCACTCTATGATTCTCCATGGTTTTCACTGAGGTGTAACGGCTCTTTTTCTTTCCCATGTGCAGGTTGAGAAATCCGAACTGAGAGAGGAGAAAGCTCGGCTGAAAGCTGAGCGGGATCGTTTGCGGATACATCTCGATACCCTCACAGCTCCCACTAGGACCAACGCTGTCTCAGGCCAGTCGTCACCTGCGCTTTTGCAGTCGCAAACAGCGTCGCATGCATCGTACGCTGCGCACCAAACGCCTGTCAAGGTTGAAGCTGTGCGGTTGCCTCACCACCAGCATCTAACTATGTGGCAATTCCTCCCGTCTGGCGTGGCTGATGCATCTTCAGATCGGTTTTTGACGCCACCTGTGGCGTAATAGCGCCTTGACTGTATTTTTTTTACCTCGGTTTGAATAAGCTGAGATGGTTTATCTGTGCATTTATGGTATAGTTGATGTTATGGGACTAGAATTTGGTACCTACCGTATCCCTTCTTTGCATAGAGTAAACATTATCGACAGCAGGTGAGAATTGACAAGCTAAGAAATCTGATGTGGAAGCCGCATAGAGTAAACATTATCGACAGCAGGTGAGAATTGACAAGCTAAGAAATCTGATGTGGAAGCCAAGATGGATTTCACTACCGATAGTTATCTGTCCACCACAATTCTCTGTACTAAAGAATGATGGAGTCCAAATAACCGTTCACTACCCCACCAAACCAACTCTATGAAACAGCAGTCACAACATTGTTCTTTTCACTCCCCTGCCCTACCCGCGCTGCAGAGGCACCTGCAGCACCTAACCCCTCCCCTCCATGACCACCGCCATTGCCAACTGCTAACACCCCTCCCCCCAGCCCTCCCTGCTGCAACTGCTGCTGACCTACAGGCACTAGCGCACCATTCACATCAGCACCAGGCCCACCGGCCAATGGCATTGCAGCTCCAGAAGGATCAACGGCTGCGGTTGCATCTGGTGGCATGTGCGGTGGAAGCGCGTGGGGGCCAAGTCTCGAGGATGGCAGAGGGAGGGCGGCGGCAGGGTGGAGACCTGAGGGGGCTGGGGAGTGTGTGGACGGACCACCTGGTGCTGCCTTGCCGTTCAGCCTCTCCTGCAAGACGGAATGGGATGGAACGGGATTGAGTTGGTTGACGTGAGATGGAGCATGGGTGCTGAGTGGGTGAGGCGGATGAAGAGGCTGAGTTGAGTGGATGAGGCGGATGAAGAGGCTGAGTTGAGTGGATGAGGCGGATGAAGAGGCTGAGTTGAGTGGATGAGTGGACGGGTGAATGAATGGATGAATGCAGGGCACAGATGGAGGGGATGGAGAACTGGTGTCAATGAATGGATGGGATGACTGGAGTAGATGGGCATGGGAAGAAGCAGAGAAGGAAGAAGAGCAACATCAGCCATTACAGCAGATCAAACAACAGCGCCACCCACCCACCTGCAGTAGGGCGTTCTGCTGCGCCATCTTGTGGCACTCCTCCTGCATGCGCTGCAGCTCCACTCGAATCGTCTGATTCTCGTCCGTCAGTGCCCGCACCCGCCCCATCAGATCCTCACACTCCGCCTGGATTGGGAGGGGGGGAGTTGTGGTGAAGAGATTGGCATGCGCGCAAGGCAGAGATAAGAGGCAGAGGTTGAGAAATTATTAGTCGAGGGTAAGGGGAGAGGGCATTAGCTCCACCTCGATCGTTTGATTCTCGTCCGCCAGCGCCCGCACCCCCCGCATGAAACCCTCACACTCCACCTGGAGGGGAAGAAAAATGTACTCTTAGAGAAGATATTTGTATGGGGAAAACTTATTTGTAAGAGGAAAACATAATTGTAAGAGGAAAATATGTTTGTAAGAGGAAACTATATTGCAAGAGGAAAATATATTGTAAGAGGAGATTTTTTTTTTGAAAGGAGAAGATACTTGTAAGAGAAGAAAATTGTAGGGGGAGAAGTTTTTAGTGGGAGCATGCACACACCCGCCCCATAAGACCCTCACACTCCAGCAACCTCCCATTCCCCCTTGGCCACACACCTGCTTGCGCAGCCGCGACCGCCTAGCCGACTCTCTGTTGGACTGCTTGCGCCGCTGCTTCTTCACCTCCCGGTCGTCCTGCTTGCACAGAGGGAGAATGGGGGAAAGAGGCGGGGAGGCGGGCGGGGGAATAACAGCATATGATGTGAGGATGCAAAGAAGAGGGGGTAAAGGTTTATCAAGTACATTCACCTGATGGGTATTTTGCACCTTCGGCAAACATGCCATGCCATCAGGGAAAAGAGACGAACAGAGGGCCGGAGGTGAGAAAACACTCACGGAGTGCACCCATAGGTCTGATGACATTCCCATCCCTCCCCCTCCTCCCGCCACCGCACCCCGCTTCTTCCCCGCCCCTGCTCCCCCCGCGCCCCCTGCACCACCACCGCCGCTGCTGCCACCAGCAGCACCACCCATCCCTCCGCCAACCATCCCCCCAGCTCCCCCTGCTGCCCCAGCCGCCCCCCCGCCCGCCCCCACGCCTGGAATCCCCCCCATTCCGCCTGCCATGCCCACTCCCTGCCCCCCCGGCCCCATCTGCCCTGCTGCTGCAGCCGCTGCTGCTGCTTGGTGCATTTGTGCCTGAGCTTGAGCTTGGGCTTGGGCTTGCGCGGACCAGTAGTCTATAGGTACCATTCCCCCCATCTCCCCCGCTTCCCCTGCCTTTCCGCCAGCGCCCCCCCCTTCCTGCAAAAGGGGAAGGGCCGTGGGGGAATGAAATGGGAGGAGGGGAGGAGAAGAAGGGGAAGGAAGGGTAGAGAAGAAGAAAGAGGAAAGAAGAGTTACCCACTGCACAAGAGGCCTTGGTGCATTTGTGCCTGAGCTTGAGCTTGGGCTTGGGCTTGCGCGGACCAGTAGTCTATAGGTACCATTCCCCCCATCTCCCCCGCTTCCCCTGCCTTTCCGCCAGCGCCCCCCCCTTCCTGCAAAAGGGGAAGGGCCGTGGGGGAATGAAATGGGAGGAGGGGAGGAGAAGAAGGGGAAGGAAGGGTAGAGAAGAAGAAAGAGGAAAGAAGAGTTACCCACTGCACAAGAGGCCTTGGTGCATTTGTGCCTGAGCTTGAGCTTGGGCTTGGGCTTGCGCGGACCAGTAGTCTATAGGTACCATTCCCCCCATCTCCCCTGCTTCCCCTGCCTTTCCGCCAGCGCCCCCCCCTTCCTGCAGAGGGGGGAGGTGCGGTGGGGAAGAAGGGGCGGGTGAAGAACAAGGGATAAGTTGACTTTTGAGTCGACTCAAAAGTCAACTCGGGTGAAGAACAAGGGATAAGTTGACTTTTGAGTCCTCAAGACACACCTCAATGCTTTTGAGGCGCCTCAAGACACACCTCAATGCTTTTGAGGCGCCTCAAGACACACCTCAATGCTTTTGAGGCGCCTCAAGACACACCTCAATGCTTTTGAGGCGCCTCAAGACACACCTCAATGCTTTTGAGGCGCCTCAAGACACACCTCAATGCTTTTGAGGCGCCTCAAGATAAGGAACAAGAGTTCCCACTGCACTGCACACGAGGGCTTCGATGGGTACTTCCCCTTCCCACCTCTCTCCCCCCGTTTCGCATCCTCAAAGCATAATCATGACATAATCATGACATCATCATGACATCATCATGGCACCATGATGACACCATCATAATCCTTAGCATCTCGCTCTCCTCGTTGTGATCCGTGCCCACATCCTCCTCCGAATCACCCTCCCCCCATCACCGCACCGCACCACCTTCATTACACGCATGATAATGCCAAGTCATGACATCAACACAAACAGCAGCAGCTCGTTCACCTCGTTATGGTTTGTGCCCTCGTCCTCCTCCGAATCATCCTCCCCTCCGCTGCAACACCACCTTCATTACATGCAATGCATGATACCGCCAAGTGCTGTCATCCCACACACCAGCACCAGCAGCTCGCTCACCTCGTTATGGTCTGTGCCCTCGTCCTCCTCCGAATCATCCTCCCCTCCACTGCAACACCACCACGCAACAGGATTTGGATCGGCACACCAGTGATTGACGGAACAGCAGTCGGTGAAGCAGCAGGTGTTGAAAAAACGGGGTAAAGAGGAATGATGGGAATGGGATGAGAACGGGGTGAGCGTGTGTGAGTGGAAGGGTGGGCGAGTGAGAGTGAGCGTGAGGGGGTACGTGACAACATGCATGGTTCAAGATAAAAGAATGCCTTCAAGATAAAAGAATGCCTTCAAGATAAAAGAATGCCTTCAAGATAAAAGAATGCCTTCAAGATAAAAGAATGCCTTCAAGATAAAAGAATGCCTTCAAGATAAAAGAATGCCTTCAAGATAAAAGAATGCCTTCAAGATTTCCTTGTAAAGCATATGAAAACTCGTAAAAAACATCATGACTGCGTGCAACAGGAAAGATGCTACCAGGATCTCCTTCACACCACCCCCCCACCCAGCCACTCACCCCCCCACCCACCCACTCACCCCTCCACCCAGCCACTCACCCCCCCACCCAACCACTCACCCCTCCACCCACCCACTCACCCCCCCACCCACCCACTCACCCCTCCACCCACCCACTCACCCCCCCACCACCCACTCACCCCCCCACCACCCACTCACCCCCCCGCCACCCACTCACCCCCCCACCCACCCCCCCTCCCCAACCCCCATCCAACCACCCATCACCCCTCCTCAACCCCCCACCCACCCATCCACACCCCTCCCCACCCCCGCACACACCTGGTGGAAAACACACCATTCCCTGACTGCAGCTTTGACCCCTCTGACGTCATCCCTCCCCCCGGTCCCATCCCCCCTCCGCCTCCGCCTCCGCCTCCCCCTCCCCCTCCCGCTGGAACAATAGCCCCCCCATCCCCCGCCTTCGCGCCACCCCCGTCTTCCCCCACTCCCCCGCCTCCGCCTCCCCCTCCCCCTGCGCCTGCTGCTGCGGCCGCCCCTCCCCCATCCCTCTGCTCCGCATGCATTCCCACTGGCGCCATGCCTGGCGCCATGGCCTGGCGGAGGGGGTAAGGGGACGATTGGGGAGAAGGGGGAACACGGGGGGGGGGTAAGGGAGAGGGGGAAGGGAAGGCGGGCATAAAGAATGAAGGCACGTCACTGGTCCCCCTTTCTCTGCTCCGCATGCATTGCCACTGGCGGCATGCCTGACGCCATGGCCTGGGGAGAGGAGACACGGGGCTATTGGGGGAGGGAAAGGGGTCAGTGGGAGGGAGAAGGGAGGTGGGGGGAGGGAGGGAGAAGGGAGGCGGCCACAATATAGGACGGCGCATCACTCGCCCCCCTCCCTCTTCTCCGCATGCATTGCCACTGGCTGGCTGGCAGCACGCCTGGCGCCATGGCCTGGCGAGGAAGGGAGTCGTGTCACAGAGACAGAACCATGACAGTGATCGTTACATGCAAATCGGGTTACCACACATGCTGATAGGGTTACCAATAACAAACTAGGTCCGACTCCATAGTTGCTACATTCCACACTTGTACTTGTCCATGCATGCTCATACATGCTACACTTCATGATTGTTACACTCCAAAACTGATACTCTCCATGATTTTTACAATTTCAAATTGTTGCACTCCATACACATTACACATCATAATTGCTACACTCCATACACTTTACACTTCATAGTTGCTACACTCCATACACATTACACTTCATAATTGTTACACTCCATACACATTACACATCATAATTGCTACACCCCATACACATTACACTTCATAATTGTTACACTCCACACACATTACACTTCATAATTGTTACACTCCATACACTTTACACTTCAAAACTGTTACACTCCATACACTTTACACTTCAAAATTGTTACACTCCATACACATTACACTTCATAATTGTTACACTCCATACACATTACACTTCATAATTGTTACACTCCATACACATTACACTTCAAAATTGTTACACTCCATACACATTACACTTCATAATTGTTACACTCCATACACATTACACTTCATTATTGTTACACTCCATACACATTACACTTCATTATTGTTACACTCCATGCACATGGCTTGCCATACATACCGAGGATGCATCCATTGATGCTGTGGTCGCTGATGGCATGCCGTACCCCATATAAGGCTGCGCGCCCTGCTTTTAACGGGATAGATGGGGCAGAGGCACGGAACGGGAACGACAAGTGGGAGAATAAGACTGGGAAAAGGGGCAAGGAGGAAAGTTAGGAAGAAGTTACAGGGGAGGTGAGGGGAATGTAAAGAAGGAAATTATGGAAGGGGGGAAAGGGGGAAAGAAGGTAGGGAAAGGAAAGCAGGGCGTAATGAGGCTGCTTGTAACGGACAAGCTTTCACCATGTCAGCACACTTTCTAAGGCCGCAACGCTTCTTACCAGGTACAAAGCTTTTTGTACCGAAACAGCTCTTACCAGGTACAAGGCTTCTTGTACTGAATCATCTCTTACCGGGTACATGGCAGCAGGGGGGTACATGGGGGCGCCATAAGGGGGAGGCTGGCCGTACGGCGTCATCATGTGCTGCTCGGGGGGAGGGGGGGCGGAGGAGAGCGGGAGGGGGAAGGGGGTAGGGGGAGCGGAGGAGAGGAGGAAGGGGGAAACGGGAAGATGATGGGAGGCAGGCCGTAGGGCGTCATCATGTGCTGCTCGGGGGGAGGGGGGAATGGGGGAAGCGGAGGGGGAGGGAAGGTAGGGGGCTGGTTCGGAATCATGGTTTGCACGGGGAAGGGGGTGCGGTGGGGAGCGCATGGAAGGGGAGCAGGGAGGTGAGCCGTGAGGCTATCATGTGCTGAGCGGAGAAAGCGGGGTGGGGGGGAGCGGAAGAGGGTAAGGGGAGGAGGGGAGGGGGAGGGGGGGGGGGGGAGGGTGGGGGGGGGTGGGGAGTAGATGGGTGGAGGGAGGGGAAGGTGATGAGCGGGTGGCCGTACGGTGCCATGGGGGAAGGGGGGATCGAAAAGTTGGAGAGGGTGAAGGGGGAGAGGATCGCAAAGGGGGAGTGGAGAGGCAAAGGGGAAGCGATGAGGCAAAGGGGGAGCGGCGAGGCAAAGAGGGAGAGGGGAGGGTGGAGGGGGAGGGGAAGGGAGAGATAGACTGTGTGGAACGGGCGAGGGAACAGCAAGGGGTGAGGCTGTGAGTGAGGAGAAAGGGAGAGACCCGAACGATCTAGTACGAGCCAAGCTACGCACCTGCCCTGCCCCCACATGTAGGGATGGTGCTGGGGCGGCGAGGGAGTGGGGGAATGGCCGAGACCCGGAGAATTATATCTGAAGGCAAGCCGCGTACCTGCCCCCACATGTACGGATGGTGCTGGGGAGGCGAGGGAGTGGAAGAACGACCGTGACCCAGAAACATCATTCCAAGGCAAGCCGCGTACCTGCCCCCACATGTACGGATGGTGCTGGGGAGCGGCGGCTGCTGCGGGGTAGTACCCCGGTGGTGGCTGCCCCGCCTGGCCGTAGTACGCCTGGCGGGGATCAAGGCACGGCGCACACACGGGGGGGCACAAGGGGGAGCACACGGCGGGTGAGAGGAAGAGAAGGTGGGGGCGGGGTGAGGGAACAGCAATGGACTAGGGGCAGTACCCCGGCGGTGGCTGCCCCGCCCGGCCATAGTATGCCTGGCGGGGATCAAGGCATGGAGCACAAACGCGGGGGCACACGGGGTGGCACACGCCCGGGCACATGCGGGGACACACGTGGGGACACACAAGGGGACACACGCGGGGCACACGCGGGGCCACACGCACGCGCACACAATGGGACGTGATTAGGATGGGGACGCGCACTGCCATGCGTGGACGGATGGGAAAGACTGTTGTGCGAATTGGACTCGCCCGCCGTGGTTTGAATAGACGATGGCACGCGCAGGCCAGCAAGCCGGCAGTGGTTTGACTCGCCCGCCGGCCGCACTTCACCAGGCGCCAACTTGCCAGGCACCACCTTGCCAGGCGCCACCTCGACAGGCGCCACCTCGACAGGCGCCACCTCGACAGGCGCCACCTCGACAGGCGCCACCTCGACAGGCGCCACCTCGACAGGCGCCACCTCGACAGGCGCCACCTCGGCAGGCGCCATCTCGACAGGCGCGTCACCGGGATGGCACGGCGTAGAGGGGCATACAAACTAGACAGAGAGGCGAGGTATGACATCCCGCTATGGTTGAACCAACCACAGCTCCTAGCTCAAGAAGTTCGGACAGGCACTGTGAGGCCCTGGCTGAAAACGCGCCGACTGCATGTCTGGACTGCTCTACAAGGGTAGCTTGCTAGGTGCGGCCGTCGAGGGGCACTCAAACTAGACAGAGAGGTGCGGCATGCGGTCCCGATACGGGTAAACAATCACAGCCTCAAGCTCTAAGGGGTGTGGACCGAAAAAGCGAGCCTCCGGCTCAAAACGCGTCAACTGCAGGCCCTGGACTGCTCTACAATTGTCGATTGCTTGGTGCGGCGAGAGGCGTCTGAAGCTGGTTACCACAGCTGGCGATTGCTAGTGGTGGCTGATTACGACCGGTAACAGTGGTAACCTCTGGCTGGTAACGGCGGGTACCTGCTGGTAACAGCTGGTAACTAGGTAAAGGGACTGGCTACATGGTAAGGTACGTGGCCTCTCGCGGCGCGTTATACTAGCGGATAGATACTGGTTACATGAGTTTGGTTACCCTCATCGAATAGAAAATGGTTACATCGTGTGGTTACCCTCATCGGGGTGACCCAAATGCTTCACCTGGAAAGCCGCTGCCCAGTCGGGGTAGCCTGCCGGCATCTGTTGTTCCTTGCCATACCCTTGCGCTTCCTGCGGTGACAAGTTATTGAATCGGTCGTGAGACAACGCACCGCGACGGAGAAAATATGAGTGTTGAGAAACGCGACGCGGACTACGGGTGTGAGTTGCAGACTTGGAAAGATGGCGGAGGAAGTGGAGAAAACTATAGCACAAAAAGGCACAGTAGATGGCAAGACAAGAGGGTACAAAAAGGATAGTAAAGGCTAAAAAAAAACAGTAATGTTTTTTTTTTTCAAAACAAAAAAGAAAGAAAACGGACCCGAAAAGCAGAGAACGCAAAACCGAAGTTTGCGCTACCTTACTCATCGCGTTTGCCGCTACACCTACGTCAGTCGATCCCATAACAGGCGCTGGAGTCGACGACTTCACTTTCGATGACGCCTTTCGAACGATCAGATTCTCCCTTGGCAATAATCCTCGAGCTTCGAAAATTCGTGACGTGACACAACAAGACCACAACAGATCGCTGCGCGGCTCCGTTCAAATGCTATTGAAAATCAGCAATCAGGCTGGAGAGGAGGCAACCTTGGCTCAAATCAGGAAACGGAAGAAATTAGGGCTTACGTGTGAGAATGGTCCCAGCTGTGAGCAGGGACACGCCTTACGTGTAAGCACAAGAGAGCTTCGCTGCTGTGTAGATGGTTTAGGTGGAGGAGGCGGTTGGCGGACTTTACGGAGGAGGAAGGAGCGGATGACCTGCGGGGCTGACTGGGCGATGAGAAGGGCAGGGGGGGAAGGGTTATGGGCGCAACTGGGAATGCGGGGCTGGCTGACTGGGTGCTTGTGGGGTAGCCGCGAGGCTGACTGGGAGCAAGAAGAGAGGAGGCGGGTAGCACACGGGCGGGCTGACTCAGCGAAGTGAAGCAGAAACGGGGAGGCTGACTGGGCTGCGGTTGGGGGAGAGGAAGGCTGACTCAGCGAGGTGGGGGAGCGCAGTTCAACTCCGCCGGGCCAGTCTGGGCTCTGCGCGCGCCAGAAAGCCATTTAGTGAAGGTGAGGGGAAGAAACATGCATGGCGCAAAGAGGCGGTGGGCACAGGCATGTGGACGAGGTGATGAGCTGGAAGGCGCTACGCCACCTCGCCAGGTTGGAAAGAGGCCACTTGACGCCTGCGCCAAGCATGACAATGAAGGAAAAGAAAAATATGAAATACACTCACACCCAACAACAATAATTGTTTTAGCTTATTCGTTATTAAAAAACTTCAGTAGGTTAGCAGTTGGTCCCAAATGAACTTTTCAGGGCTGTTTGTTGTGCTAAAATGTTCTCCTGAATTCAGCGGAACCTTCTATGCGCCTCGATCACGCAACGAACAAGATCTAGCGCAACGTGGCAAAGATCGGTAGAGCATGCATGTGACCGGAAATCCGCTGATCTTAGCTGTTCTCGGTCCGAGGGCGTATCTCTCAACACAGTACAGCGGTCGCGCCAGAAGTCTCTCTCTACTCAATTCGGCCTCCCATCGGCCTCTCAAGAGTTTACGGAGTTCTGGGACAGAATGTCATTTTGTAAGTCATTACGGTTGCCATTAGCAGCTGGATTCACAAAACTTCCTGTGTATTTAACTCCGAACGTTCCCGAGATTGCATGGGGTGATCTCGTGTACGCATTTCGGTTCGGGATGCGAGGAGGCGGATTATTAGTGAGCTTGCTCCTCAACCACGGTAAATCGCTAGATAGCACAGAGTCGAACAGCAATAAAGTGCTTTGGTTTATAAGACCCAATACCTAGGCAAAGACCTAGTGTGCAATTTACAGGCAACCAAGTCTAGAGATCATGTTTCAGAATAGCCAGTAGAAGGTAACGTAATCTAGTCACTGTGAGATGAACTCCGATAATATCTAGTTTCAGATACAATACACATAAAAAGCTGATCCAAGTTGCAACCCATAGCACAGCGTTAAACCTTAGAACAGCTCCTCAGAGTTGAACTTGTTGAACGCCTCCTGAACAACAAACAAACACCAAGTCAAGGTGTAGCACAGTACATAGCCCCATGCCATATACGAATCCCACATCAATTAACAAAATCTATGTAGAATCAAAATCTGATTTGGAAGTACGACGAGTGTAAACAGCACGTGGCATGGCATGTGGCATGGCATTGCATTGCATGGCATGGCATGGCATGGCATGGCATGGCATGGCATGGCATGGCATGGCATGGCATGGCATGGCATGGCACGGTGCACGCACCTTGAGCAGGTCGAACACCTTCTCAGCAATGTACTTTTGCTGCACTGTGGCGCCCTTCTGCTGCACCTTGTCCGGATGCACACACAGTGCTGCCTTGCGGTACGACTTCTTCACTGCTGCCGCACTGCAGGAGGGAGGGAAGGAAGGGAGAGGGTGAGGGCAGGTGGTGGGTACACGTGATGCACACACAGCGCTGCCTTGCGGTACGACTTCTTCAACGCTGCCGCACTGGAGAGGGGAGGGACGGTGGGAGTTAGGGAGGGTGGGTGGATGGGAGGGTGGGCACTTAGGATGCACGCACAGCGCTGCCTTGTGATACGACTTTTTCACCGCTGCCGCACTGCAGGGGGGGAGGGCGGGGAGAGAGGAAAGGAGGGTCGGTGGGAGGGAGTACTTCTGCTGCACCTTGTCCGGATGCGCACACAGCGCCGCCTTGCGGTATGATTTCTTCACTGCTGCCGCACTGTATAAGGGGGGAGGGGAGGGAGGGTGGGCGGGAGGGCGGGAGGGAGGGAGGGCAGGTGGGCATACAGGATGAACACACAGTGCTGCCTTGCGGTACGACTTCTTCACTGCTGCCGCACTGCAGTGGGGGAGGGAGATTGTGAGGGTGGGGGGGTGGATGGGTGGGTAGGAAGGTACTGCAGGCAGGCAGCATAAGCAGCGAAGCAACTGGTACAAAGAAACCCAATATGCAAACCTGATGCACAAACTGCACACGCCTTCTATCTATACTGCTGCCGCCCTGCAGGGGGGAAAGGGGAGAGGAGGAGGGTGCGCGGATGGAAGCTACCCAATCCTCAGCACACGCACAACCCCACCCCAGCACTGCCCGTTTTTGAGACTTGTCAAAAATCGTCTACTTACATGAGGGTGCGCGGATGGGAGGTACCCCATCCCATCCTTAGCACACGCACATCCCCACCTCAGCACTGCCCACCTGCTCCCACTTGCACCCCTTGCTGCTATGCCTCCAACCAGCACCACCATTCCCCATGGCGCATGCCCTGCCGACCTGCCAACCTCACACACACACATGTGAAACCGCCCACCTGACGATGTCCGTCAGAGCCACAGGCCCCCCCTTGCACGGCACCCCTTACTGCCATGCCTCGAGCCAGAACCACCAAACACATGCCCCGCCCACCTCACACACACACGTCAAGCCGCCCACCTGATGATGTCTGTGAGCGCCACAGGCTCCCACTTGCACTCCGGCCAGAGTACCTGCAGGCGCGGATTGGAGATAGGAGGGAGAGAGAGAGGGTGGAGGGATGGAGGGGAAGAGGGAGGGAGGGAGTTGGGGAGGGAGGAAGGGTTAGGGTGAATGGTAAGGTTCAAAGACAGGAGCTGAAGGCCCAAGGCAAGGCACACACAAAGTGTAGTGTTGAGATCAGTGAGGCACTCACAGAACAATACACAAAAAAGTAGGGTAACTCACAAACTTTAACACCCACGGCATTCACAGACTGCGATGTGGAGAGCCGCGATGCACTCGTAAAACAATACACCAGAAATTAGGGTAACGCACAAGCGTTAACACCCGAGGCACTCACAGACCGTGACATGAAGAGCCACAAAGCACTCTTAAAACAATACACCAAATATCAGGGGTAACTCACAAACGCTGGCAACCAAGGCACCCAGAAACTGCAGGGTGGAGAGCAGCAAGAAAAACTCATATAAAAATACACCAGAAATTAGGGTATCTTACAGGCATTAGCACCCAAAGCACACCCAGCCCAAAGCACTCACGAACTGCAGTGTGGAGAGCAGCGCGCGCAGATTGCCCTCCTTGCCCGCCGCCCACCGCTTGATCTCAATATCCAGCATCTCGCCCGCTTTCTGGAGGAGGGAGGAGGAGGCAGGGGCGGGGAAATGGAAGCGCTTGTATTGAAATGGTCCCCCCCCTGCTGGATTTCTAACACCGCTTGCTCTCAATATCCAGCATCTCCCTGGCTTTCTGAAGGAGGGAGGGAGGGGAGGGAGAAAGGGGGTGAGGGAAAGGGGGGGGTGTGATTTCTACCACCGCTTGATCTCAATATCCATCATCTCCCCGGCTTTCTGAAGGAGGGAGGAGGAGGGAGGGAGGGGCCGGCAAAGAGAACGGCTTTATCAGCGCATGCGGCGTGGCGAGCAGCATGCGCGGATTCCGCGACATCCTTCCCTGGTCGCCACGCAGCATGCGCGGATTCCGCTTGATGGAATGATTGGCCCTCCTTCAGCATTCCCCTCCTTGCCGGCTTTCTGGAGGAGGGTGCGGGGGGGAGAATGGGGGGAAACCGGGTGAGGAAGTTGGAGAAAAGGGGGGGAAAGGTTGATGGAATGATTAACCACCGCTTGATCTCGATATCCAGCATCTCCCTGGCTTTCTGGAGGGGGAAAGGAAGAAGGACGGAGTGGAGGAGAAAGGGAAAGGTTCTATAAGTGCGGTCCCCTGCCCCGGATTTCTACCACCTGTTGATCAAGATTTCCACTTGGGTGCCTCAAAAGGGAAATTCTTAGGTGCCTCAAAGAGGAAATTCTTAGGTGCCTCAAGGGGAAATTCTTAGGTGCCTCAAAAGGGAATTCTGAGGTGCCTCAAAGGGGAAATTCTTAGGTGCCTCAAAGGGGAATTCTTAGGTGCCTCAAAGGGGAAATTCTTAGGTGCCTCAAAAGGGAAATTCTTAGGTGCCTCAAAAGGGAAATTCTTAGGTGCCTCAAAAGGGGAAGTCTTTGGTGCCTCAAAAGGGGAAGTCTTAGGTGCCTCAAAAGGGGAAGTCTTAGGTGCCTCAAAAGGGGAATTCGTGGGTGCCTCAAAGTGGGAATGTATGAGGTGCCTCAAAAAGTGTATGAGGTGTCTGAAAGGGGAATCACAGAAGAAATAGAAATGAGCAATCCGTTTACATGGATTATCCGGGGAGACATAAAAAGGTGCAACCAAACCAATCCATAGGACCCACACATCGCAGCCCACTCACATCGCAGCCCACTCACATCGCAGCCCACTCACATCGCAGCCCACTCACATCGCAGCCCACTCACATCGCAGCCCACTCACATCGCAGCCCACTCACATCGCAGCCCACTCACATCGCAGCCCACTCACATCGCAGCCCACTCACATCGCAGCCCACTCACATCGCAGCCCACTCACATCGCAGCCCACTCACATCGCAGCCCACTCACTCACATTGCATGCAAGCAAACCACGTCCATTCATTATCACTGCCAACATCATCTCGCGTTCAACCACACATCACCCCCACACACCACTTGCACATGACCCGTCCACCGACCATCACCCATCCAGCACCCACCACCCACCACCCACCACCCACCACCCCTCCCCACCCCTCTGCACTAACGTGCCAGTCCTCCTGCTCCTTGACTACGTGCTTGTCTCATTTTCACGCCTCCCATACAATTATCCAGCCCCTCACCACCCCTCCCAACCCTTCTCCACCCCTCAGCACTCACGTGTCGGTCCCCTGCTCTTTGAGCACATCGATGTCTCGACCTCCCCTTCCACTGCCTACAAACCACTCAGCACCCCTCCCCACCCCTTCCCACCCCTCACCACCCCTCTCCACCCCTCTGCACTCACGTGTCGGTCCTCCTGCTCCTTGAGCACGTCCATGTCTCGCTTCTTCTTCTCATCCAGCGCTGCTGCCTGCCATGGGGGCACAGGGGGGAAGGGGGGAATGGGGCCGGGGGGGGAGGGGGGGGAAGGGTGGGGAAGGAGGGGAAAAGGGCGGAAGAGAGGGGTGGGGAGGGGAAGGGTGGATGAGGGAAATGGGGAGGGAGGGGGGGGGGGGGGGTAAAGGGGTGCACAGGAGGAAGGGGGGGTGGTAAGGAGACGGGAGTGAGGGTTGAAAAAGGGCGGACGAGGTGGAGGGATGGAACAAGAACAAGGGACGGTAGGCGCGGGCGAGGAGAAAGGCTCAAGTTGGAGAATGCAAGGACGAGAGCATGAGGGGCGACGAGAGCGAGGGAAACCATAAGGAAAAGACGGGCGGGAGGAAGGCTGAGCGGGGGAAGGGGGAGCTGGGAGGTATGGAGAAGTGTGGCCTCTCCGGAGCTCCTATCCCTGCGCCCCTGTCCCTCCCTGCGCCCCTCCCTGCGCCCCTCCCTGCGCTCGTGCCACCCTGCGTCCCTGCTTGTGCCCCTCCCCTCCAAGCGACCGCCACTCACCACTCTCTCACGACCACCCATCATAACGCCCCTCCCTGCGCCCCACCCACCCCTCCCTGCGCCCCACCCGCCCCTCCCTGAGCCCCACCCACCCCTCCCTGCGCCCCACCCGCCCCTCCCTGCGCCCCACCCACCCCTCCCTGCGACCCATCTCCCCTCCCAGCAACGCCCCACTCACCACTCTCTCCTTCAGGCGTTGAACCGTTCGTACTCCAGCTGCTGTCGCTCCTCACTCTACCCCCCCACCTCCTGAAACTCTTTCCCCCTGCCCCTCCCAGTGACCCCCCCCAAACCCCCCAGCTCCCTTCCCAACGCCCTCCCCCAGCGCCCTTCCTGGCGGCCCCCCCATCCCTCCTCCAACTCCTCCCCCCCCCCCCACCGCACTCACCGCTCTCTCCTGCAGGCGTTGAAACCGCTCGTACCGCAACTGCCGCCGCTCCTCACTCTCCCCCTCCACCTCCTGAAACTCGTCCAGCCGACTCCCTCCCCCTGCCCGCGCGCCTCCTCCCCCTCCGCCGCCTCCTCCCCCTCCCCCGCCTCCCCCTGTGGTGCTCATGAGAAGGGGAAGCGTGAGGGTGGACGGATGAGTTGGAGTTGGGGCAGAGGTAGGGAGATGGAAGAGGAAGGGGGAGGATGGGGTTTGAGAATGGGATTGAAAGGGAACAAGAGAAGAGTTGGTCGTGACGGAGAGGTGGGAATAGCTTTTGAGGCGCCTCAAAAGAATTCTCAAAAGTCACTCCAATATACGTGACGGTGCGGTGGGAATAGCTTTTGAGAATTCTCAAAAGTCACTCCAATATACGTGACGGTGCGGTGGGAATAGCTTTTGAGAATTCTCAAAAGTCACTCCAATATACGTGACGGTGCGGTGGGAATAGCTTTTGAGAATTCTCAAAAGTCACTCCAATATACGTGACGGTGCGGTGGGAATAGATGCTGTTGTGAGAAGCAGAGGGAGAGGAGGAGAGGAAGGGAACAGATGGGATTGAAAGAATGAGGGATTGAAGGGAACATGATCGGGACATGCGGATTTTGATGGTGAAGTGGAAATAGAAGCTGTGAGAAGAAGCAGAGGGAGAGGAGGAGAGGAAGGGAAGGGGAGGGACAGAAGGAGCGAGAAAAAGGCGAAAGGAAGAGAGAGAAACGGAAATTATGAGAAGTGACGAGAGGGAAAGAGAGGGACATGACGAGAGGAAAAGCAAGAGAGGGAAAGGAGAAGAGGGAGGGGGGGGGGGTGGGGGAAGTGGGGGAGGGGGATATGGGGAGGGGAAGAGAGGGCGGAAGAGGGAAGAACGGGACGATGGAAACGAACCAAGAATGAGAGCAACACACAGAGAATGTCAGCCCAATTGTTGGCTTTTGAGACGTCCCAAAAGACGGAAGAACAGGATGATGGGAACGGACCGAGAATGAGAGGAACGCACCGAGAATGTCGGCCCAATCGTCGGCTGAAGAAGGCTGCTGCTTTGGCGGCGCTGGTTGCTGCACATGGGTAGGGCGAAGGGGAGAGGAGAGGGGGCGAGAGAGGTTAGAAGAGCTGAGGGGCATGAGGAAATCGAGGGGAAAAAAAAAAAAAAAAAAATTTGAGAGCAATGCCAAATTCGAGAGGCGAACGAAGCTGTGTTGCACCCATCATCAGATGACTGATTGAAACCAGGTGCCGTCCAGGTAGGGCATCTGATTTCCCACCTGTTGTTCCCTATAGAAGGAAACAGGTGGACCAGCGGCCCATCCACCCAGCAACCAACACCCACCCTCACACCACGCCACACCACACCATACCACACCATACCCCACCCAACAACAGCAGCACCAACGAAAACTCACCGAGGCTCTGCTCTTGGCTTCTTGCGCTCGCTGCTGCTGCTGCCTCGCCGCCTCCCTCTCCTTCTCCCGCTGCTTCTCGCTCTCCCTCTGCCTCTGCCTTTCCCTCTCCCTCTCCTCCCGCTCCCTCTCCCTCTCCCTCTCCCTCTCCTTCTCCCTCTCCCGCTCCCTCTCCTTCTCTCTGGCCGCCCGGGCAGCATCAGCCTTCCTCTGTGCGCTCTCCATAGCATCTTTCATTGCAGCAGACGATGCCGCCGCTGCTGACGCCGAATCCGACGGCGGCGCATACCCGCCACCTGGCACCTCCCCATTGGCCGCCCTCCGCCTCCTAGGCGGGGCCCCCCTCTCCTCCTCCTCCTCCCCTCCCCTCCCACCGCCACCAGCAGCAAACTCATCAAACCCGTCCAAACCACCTCCTCCCCCTCTCTGCTCCGATTGCTGCCGTCTCCCTCCTGCGTCCTCCCCTCCCCCTCTCCCGCCTGACCCGCGCGCGCCTGCCCCTGCTGCCCCTCCCTCCCCAGCATTCTCAAAGCTCATTTTCCTGGGCATGGGACCATCACCACCACCACCACTAGCACCACCAGCAGCAGCATAAGAGGGTGCACTGGAGCGGGGGCGGCGGGGTGTTGCAGGGGGTGGGCGGGAGGGCGGAGGAGGGGTGCTGCTGGGGTTGGTTTGAAGGATAACCTCATCAACCGTAATCCACCGGTCTCCACCCACTCCTGCCCCTCCTGCTCCTCCTCCTGCTCCTGCTCCTCCTGCTGATCTGTCACTTCCTCTCCTCGCACTCTCTCGCTCCTCTCTCTCCCTCTGTCGTTCCCTCTCCATCTCCTTCTCCCTTTCCCTTTCCCTCTCCTTAGCCCGTTCCCTCTCCCTCTCCCTTTCCCTCGCCTCCCCACTATCCTCCCTCCTCGCCTTCCGAGCCTCCTCCCGAGGCTCTTCCCGAACCTCAGGTACGGGAACCTGCTGCACGAACGTCTCAAAGTCACCCAGACCGATATCCGGACCTGACGCCTGGTCTCCCAAACCGCTGCCCTGTGTCGGAACTCCTCCATCCATACCTAATCCCGAGCCTCCAGAACCGCTTCCAGCAGTAGGCATGGCAAACGCATCAAAAGGATCGGGAACAGCAGCAGCAGCAGCAGCAGAGGCAGGGGCGGCTGTACCAAATAACGGGTCAACTCCAAACGGGTCAGCAGCAGCAGCAGCAGGCGCAGCGGAGGAGGAGGAGTGCGAGGGCATGGGCGAGGGGCCTCCCTCTTCAGGGAATAGTCCCCCAGCGGTGCTCGTGGGCTTGGCGGAACTGAGAGGTGAGGAGAGAGAGAGGGGAGGGGGGCAGGGGATGGGAGGTTGCAACGGGCACGAGGTCATGGCCGAGGGCATAGGTTAGGGTATGGGCGAGGGCATGGGCGAGGGGCCTCCCTCTTCGGGGAATAGTCCCCCAGCGGTGCTCGTGGGCTTGGCGGAACTGAGGGGGGATGGGGGGAAAGGGGGAGGGATGGAGGGAAGGGGGGAATGGGATGGGGGGAAGGGGGCAAGGGGGGAAGGGGGCAAGGGGATGCGGGGAAGGGAATGTGGGGAAGCGGTGACAGACATGGTTGCGACGAGTAACGAGGGCATGGGCGAAGGACCTCCCTCCCTCTCTCTACAGGAAACAACCCTCCCACTAACGAGGGAGACGGGCCCACAGTGGTGCTCGTGGGCTGAAGGAAAATGGAGATGTGGCGAGTCAAGGAGGGTTGGGGAAGGATCGTGAGGGATGGGGAGAGTCAGGTTGGTTAGCGGCGCACATCTTAGGAGGAGAAGGGGAGGACTTTCGGTCCCATGAGCATGCCTACCGCAGTGGACGGACAGAGAAACTGAGTGTGCGAATCCAAGTGTGCCTTTCCATTTAAACGCGCACCTAAAGCTGACCAACGCGAGAAGCGGAGGGTGGGAGACAATCTGATACGGTATGATACCAGTTGAAACATTCTTGTAGTGCACACTGACTACCTCAACTAGCACACCGCGTCCCGAATCGTTAGCATTGTCGCGACCCTGAAATCTCGACACTTGAAAGGGCGAAGCATTCTTTCCTCCTCCAGGTAAACATGGGGCCGCGATCTCCAACTTACGCCGTTCTGGATATCAGTCGAGGGAGCCGCGATCGACGACAGCCAAGATCGCCCATCTCATTCCGCACTTGGGTATTCTTCACCCAGGTAAGAGTTTTGAGACGTCTGTAAACCAGAACTCCAACGTATTTCGCTTTTGAGATTTCTCGGAAGCGACTTAAAACCAGCTCGGACTTGTTAAGTTCACCGAATGATTCTGGCCGCGAAACACCACTGTATATCATCATGCAACATCGCGTTCCGGCTTTTCATGTCCGCGCACTTTCAGAGTTCGCCAGTTACCCTCTCCCCGCAACATACCTGCCGAATCCAGTCAGAAAATCGCCGTCCGCGTGTAACTGTTCATGTAGCGCGAGAAATCACCGTACCTGCCGAATCCGGTCAACAAATCCTCCTCCGCGTGAGCAGCAAGCACCGAATTGTGAGACGTGTATAAGACTTGTTTCCTTCCCCCCCCCCCCCTCCTCGTACCTGCCGAATCCGGCCAGCAGATCGAATCCGCGTGTACCTGTTCTTGAGGCGCGTAAGAAATCAACGTACCCGAATCCCGCCAGAAGGTCGTCGTCCGCGTGAGCAGGAGGCACCGGCGACGGATCGCGCCGCTCTTTCGCCGACGACGTCGCAGACGACGACGAAGGCGGCATCTCGAATCCCTGGCTCAACAGCTCGTCAAACGCCGACGCTGTCGCAGCCACCCCCCCGCCGCCGCCGCCGCCGCCGCCGGTAGATCCTGATGAGAGATCCTCGGTAACGGACGGCGACGATCTGCCGGAATGTCCGGATCTCGTGGGGGTCTGGCCGCGACTCGACGAGCTTGCGCCCGCGCCGCTCTTGCTCCCCGCTCCGCTTCCGCCTCCCAGCCCGAAATCCGCCACTCCCAACCCCGCGAACGCATTGTTGGAAAGGCCGGTACTCGCGCCGCGACTCCCGCCGCTGCTGCCGCTGCCAGCCATGCCTTTTCCAAAAGAACCCATGCCGCCGCCCATGCCGCCGCCCATGCCACCACCCATGCCGCTACCCATGCTGCCACTTCCGCCGCCACCCATGCCACCACCCATACCGGCAGCAGGTTTGTTCATCCCACCTCCTAGATTTCCCATGCCTCCCAGATTACCCATACCCCCCAAGTTTCCCATACCTCCTAAATTCCCCATACCTCCTAGATTTCCCATACTTCCCGAACTCCCCCCCATACCCCCGCCCACCCCTCGACCCATCCCTCCCCCCGTGCCTCCCCCCAGTCCGGAACTCACACCGCTTCCGCCCATCTGGCCTCCCCCGATTCCTGCGCCGCCGACCCCCCAGCTGGGTGCTCCGCCTCCTCCCATCCCTCCCCCCATGCCTCCGCCCATGCCTCCGCCCATGCCTCCCCCTGGGGGTCGCTTCGGCACCATCGGCGTGTGCTTGCCTTGCGACTTGAGGCCCGCAGCGGCAAGCACGCTCGCGAGATCATCCATGGCTGCGAGTCTTTCGGTCAAGAACCCGCCTTGCCAATCTCTTAGTTTCCGGCACGAATAGAAACTAAATCAGGTCTACCACACGAATCCTGCAACTTGCAGGATAAACGCCACTCGACAAATTCTTAGTGAAAAAAAACCGATCTAAGCCATCGACGGAAGGCGTCGGAAGATAATGCTGTAATCGTGCAAAATCTCTTTCCAGGTAACAGCCAGCTAAGCTTGCTCTTCGCGTGATCGCCGCTGCCTGCTGACCTTTCAGGCAGCTGCGAGTTCTAGAGGAGCCAGCAGCGCAGCTGCCAGCAACAGCACACCTACCACTCTAGTTTGGCTGCCGCCGTTACAACCAGAGACTGTTCGAATCTGGAGCATGGAGGTAGGGAGTGATGATGATCCTGAAGGCAGGTTGGCTTTCGTCCCTTGGGCTTGCCTGCCTCGGGCTTGGTTAAAACCGAGGGCTAAGAAGATATCTGGGAGAGTGTTTCCTGGGCATCGGTTTCCAGCTCAAACGCCACGGTTTGTTCTGGTGTATTGAGATTCAAAGCGGTAAATGAGCTGAACTGTTGTTTACCTTGTGGAATCTTTCTGGGCCGCTCTGGAGGATGAGCTGAGAGGGGGAGTCAAGTTTGGCTCGGTCGGGGAAAGGCAGAGGAGGGGAAGAAGCTTGGCGGGGACGATGAATGGCGGGAAATGGGTGCAAGGGAATGGATGCCCCCGTGGAGGAGATGGGGGCACTGAATGCATCCAGGTTAGGGGGATGCAATGGAAGCTGACATGAATTCACATCATCATTGGTGCGAACGCTTCGTGATATCACGAATAGCTTGTTGATTTTTCGCAAGGTTCAGTAACTATCAACGAAGCACTGTCATTCGTGCACGACTTTTGTCAAGAATCAGCCGCGCAGGAATCTGGCTGGGCGGAGTTGCGGGCACACTCGCGACTGGAGCCTTTCGTGCAGGTTGACCACTCTGGGGATCTGTTTGGGAGTGCGAAGCAAATCGCGAACCGTGTGCGAACGAAGCGAGCTTCTGGTTCGTGTCGCCCCCTCGCCAGCCGACAGTCATCCAGTTTCGCGCCAATCTCGTGGAGTCTTGAAACGCTTCACTTGGAGAGTACACTCCATGGGGATTATGGATGATCCAACAACCTCACTAGACACCACACTTACAGTATTAGAAGTTATGGTAATTTGTTGTCTATAAGGAAAATTTATTTCCCTGCTAAGTGCGTACACCACTGTTCCCGCCAACAGCACCCAACAGTAAATCGTTACCACTCCCGACACTCGCCTCGACACTGTTCCCGCCACTGTTCACGACGCGACCCAACCTCACGGTTCGGTTGGTAACCCGCGCTCCGGACCTCCGCCTCGACATTTCCCAACCTCGTCGCTAGGCCCGTTGCGCACCCCATTTTTCCCACATTACCGTTACCACTGTAGTTTCGCAATATATTCTTCGCTCATGCCTTCGCTCATTGCACTCTTGCTTCGATAGTGCAATTTTCGCTCAATCACTCAATTGCACTCATAACACTTGGTATTCAGAGCCCACGACCTCTTCTCGGACCGCACCCACACCTTCGCTTGCCCATTATCTCTTTTTATTTTTTTTGGGGGGGGGGGGGGGGGGGGAGTAGACGTCTCTCAGCGAAACAAGCACCGCCGCTCGAAGTGCTCTCTCGTAAGCACGCACGGCCACGACAGAGGCTCTCGCTGAACTTGCCCGACACCCCCGCTATGGCCGAATTCACTCTCGCGACACTGACGCAGGAGCAACTCGACCGTCTCGTGTGCCAAGTCAAAGATTCGGCGCTCGAAATTGCGACCCTCATGGCAGAACGCGACTCCGCTCGTCAGCAATCCACGGTGAATGCTCCAGCACCACCACACGCACCTGCAAATGCACCTGCACAGTCGGAGGAACTGATCGTCATCTCATCAGGCACACCGACACAAAACGACAGCGTGGGACAGCGCTCAGGCACAGCCAGTGATGGCGCCGCTTAATCAATGCTCGGCATGGAGAGGAACAGGGCCGCGCCAAGCCCGCGAGAGCCTCGCGAAGCCCGTCGCCACGTGTAGTTTGCAGCGACAAGTGGCGACGACGCCATCATGGCACCAATGCCACTCAAGCCGCAGCGCCCGCCCTGTTTCGACCCGAGCCAGCATGGAGGTCCGACGGTTCAATTGTAGGTCTTCATGATGAACGTTTTTTTTCGGCGCGAACTACATCGAGTCGGACGCAGCGAAGATCCGATATGCCGTCTCGCTGCTAAGGGGACCCGCCATGGACTGGTGGCGAGTCATCGTGACGTCGCCACGCGCCTACGAGCCGCCGTCGCAAGAGGAAGGGCCCACGGGTCGAGCCTTCACCTAGCGTTCATTTTGCGAAACCGCCCAGCACAGCACGTGGGATGTGTGTGTGAAGAAATGAGGAATGAATGATGAACTAGGAAATGAGTTGGGTACAAATATGAAACCCTAGAAAGCTGTACCCCATACTGTCTACCCCACTACAGCCTAGAAAGACTATAGTATATAAGTTTGACACACCCCCATAGGCAAAGTGGGAGAGAACAAGGGGTCACAAGACCAGTCAAGCAAAGCACAGTAAGCTTAGGGTGGATCACAACGTCACCACACATTCTGAGCACAAGTTCAAGGGCCACAAGGCCAGTTCACATGCAGATATATATATATATATATATAAAGTTAAACATGCAAGTGCAAGTATATATAGGTCAAAGTACAAGCAAGGTCAAGAAGTGAGCAAGTGAGGCAAAGTAGGTACAAGACCTAACAGAGTACAGAAGCGCTGATGATCACAAGGCGCGAGTGCCTTGGTGAAGATATCAGCAGTGTTGGCCTGAGAGGCCACGTAAGCAAGTCGCAGCTGACCACGCTGCTGCAGCTCACGAGCAAGGAAGTAGCGAAGAGCAATGTGCTTCGTTCTGTGCTCCAGTCTGTGCTCACGACACAAGGCCAGCATGGCCTTGTTGTCTACGTACAGAACTGGAGGAGAACGAGGCGGCTCTCCGAGGTCAGTCAGCAGGTAGGTGAGCCAGCGTAACTCCTGTGCAGCCATGGCCCCTGCGTAGATCTCAGCCTCACAGCTTTAGCTGAGAACAGAAGAAGAGCGGGTAGACCGCCACGAAACAGAACCGGAACCAAGGCTGAAGGTGTAACCCTGTGACGACCGCTGCGTAGCCAAGTCGTCAACCCAAGACGCGTCTGCGTGACCAGTGAGGACCACTGGACTCCGCCCTCCAAGCACGAGCCCCATGCCCGACGTACTGCACAAGTAGCGCAACACCCTCTTCGCTGCAGCCATGTGCTCAGGGAGGTGTCTCCCAGGAGCAACATAGCGTGCCAGAATGCTAAGAGGGTATGCAAGGTCAGGTCGTGTGCAGGTCATCAGGTACATGAGGCAGCCAACAAGCTCTGGGTACGGGCCACTCGGCTCTACGGACTCATCCTAAGGCAGAGTTGAGAGCGAGTGGCGAGTAGACAGAGGAGTGGCCTGTGGCGAGGAGTACGTGAAGCCGAAGCGCTGAAGGACCTGCTGCACCATGTGTGACTGAGTCAGGGTAATGGTGCGCTGTGCTCTGTCCCGGGTGATCTGCAAGCCAAGGTAGCTGCGTAGTTCACCCAGGTCTGTGCTCGTGTGTCTCTTCTGCAGCTCGGACTTCACGTGGGCGAGTCCAGCAGTGTCAGCTGTGGCAAAGACCAAGTCGTCGACGTACACGAGGATGTAGAACGGCGGCAAAGAGGTGTCGGTGCGCAGAAAAAGCGACGGGTCGGCAGTAGAAGGAGCAAACCCAAGAGCCGCAAGTGTAGTCCTCAGTGTGTCGTGCCACTCACGAGGTGCCTGGCGGAGACCGTAGACTGGCCGCCGGAGGCTCCACTGGGTGCCAGGAGGAAAAGACCCAGTGAAGCCAGGTGGGCGGCGCAGCCAGATCTCCTCGTGAAGGCTACCCTGTAGGAAAGCAGTGCTGAAGTCAAGAGAGTGAAGCTCGTAGTCGCGCTGAGCGGCTATGTGCAGTAGTACCCGAAGAGTGGTCATCTTCGGGGTGGGAGAGAAGGTCTGAAAGTAGTCAACTCCCTGCCGCTGACTGAAGCCTCGAGCCACGTAACGCGCCTTGAAGACAGGCGGAGAACCCGGGGGCCGCTTCACCCTGAAAATCCACATGCCACTGACGATGTTCGCCCCAGGTGGGGGAACCTCGTCGACGTAGGTGCCTGTGGACTTCCAGGAAGCCATCTCTGCGTCCATGGCTGCCTGCCACTGAGAGGAGTAGGGACCCTCTATCGCCTCCGCGTAAGAGCGCGGAGTCGGGATGTCTGGTGCATCCGGGTCTCCCTCAGGGGCCAACAGCATGGACACGAGATGCGGTGAAGTAGCAGCAAAGCACTGGAACTCCTCCTGCCTGTCCTCAAGGACGTCCGTGCCAAGGGCACACTCACCCCCGACGGACGGAGGACAGACAGACTCAGACTCAGCGACAAGACTAGCAGCGTAGTCTAGACAGACAGCGAGCAGCAAAGTCGACAAGCTCAGCAACTAAGGCAGACGCAGCAGTGGACTCGAAGGAAGGGTCAGTGACGACAGTAGCAAGGAGACGCGTGACAGTAGGACTGGCAGCACGAAGGGAGTCCGACTCTGGGGCAGCAAGAGCAGGAAGAGAGGACTCAGGAGGAGAAGGCAAAGGGGCACGCAGCGGAGCAGTGGAAGGACGCAGACACATCCGGTGCGTGCCGGGGATAGGGGGAGGACGCTGACGCGAACCACGACCACTAGTGCGAGCACCACGGACAGGCGACGCAGGACTGGGGAGTAGGGAGAAGGAGTAGGCAGTGGGGAGGCTGGCTGTAACTGTGACTCAGATTGGACAGGCGGCGGACACTCTAAGAGAGGAGCAGGACTAGTAGAGGGCGGAAGACCAAGAACCTGCTCAAGGAGCGGAACGAAGTACGGTCGCGGCCGTGCAGCACCCCC